TAAGTTATTTTTGAACTTATGGTGGTGAACGAATATAGCAGGCGAAGTTATGGTACTTTTTGGGTTAATTATTATTTCTTTTATTAATTTAGATTTGTACATAGTTTCCTTTGTTTTATTAATTTATTATTTTTATTTTTATTTTTATTTTTATTTTTATTCTCTTTTCTTTCTTGTGTCAATATTTTTGTTGGATATTGAGTCTCTCCATATCCACAGTTAAAATTCTCCATAATAGCTCAAATATCCTACAAAAAAAATTGACACAAGAAAGAAAAGAGAATAAAAATAAAAATAAAAATAATAAATTAATAAAACAAAGGAAACTATATACAAATCTAAATTAATAAAAGAAATAATAATTAACCCAAAAAGTACCATAACTTCGCCTGCTATATTCTTCGCCACCATAAGTTCAAAAATAACTTAAAATCTAAAATGACAAAATTGCCCCTTCTAGAAAGGCACGTGAAAGTCAGCCTTCTGTTACTTTTTGGACGGTGAACGGACGGAAAAGTGAAAGAAGACAGAAACTTAACTTTTGATGGGACTTAAATTATTTTTGAACTTATGGTGACGAACAAATATAGCAGGCGAAGTTATGGTACTTTTTGGGTTAATTATTGATAACTATATGATGATAAAGGGAGATCGATTCCAGATGTCAATAAAAAAAGACAAATTTTCAGAGCTGGTGAAATTTTCACAAATGTGAAATGGCAGGAAATTTCTATAATAGAGGGATCTGAGGGGGAAGAACTAAAAACAACCGATTTCGGAAAGCAAGGAAAGTATGGGGGATTAAAATCCATATACTATACTATGACAAACTCCAGACAAAGAAAATCTAAAGTATAAATCCTATGTGTGGAAAATTTATAATTTTTTGGACTTAAAAAATAACAAAAAATAAATAACCATTTATCTTCTTTATTAATTATTTATTAACTATTAGTGAGTGTTCTTATCAATATAACAACTAGAGACAATATATGGAGAGATAATAATAAATATCAATGTCATGAGCAATTAATATAAATGATGAAAGGTTTGAATTTAAATTGTAACAAAATGACCATTTTAAGAGCAAACAGATCATTCCACTAATAGAATATCACAATTGGATATAGATAAAATTTTGATTCTATAAAATCCCTTGAATGAGATTTCTACATAGATAGTTAAGCGCATGTCATAAATTTACTTCTTATCTCATTCCTCTTATTGGATCTTCGCCCCATAGGAATCAAGTAAGATTATTTATGTGGAGTGAGTTTATTTATTTTTATTATTTTTTAAAAAACTATAATAATTTAAGGTGCATGAGTGCAGGTAGAAAAACCAAGAGTTCTTTGGTTTCAGTTGCCAGAAACTTTTATTGAGTCCATGTACATTTTTCAAGGTTTGATTATATTTTTTCACTACTTGAATACTTTGCACGTTTGTATAATAGTTTTATTATCTTAATTTAAAGTTGTAATGTTTAAATTTCTTATTTGATTAATAATTGAATATTCTTGACCACACGATAATGGAGTCGCATGGCATCTTTCCAGTCAGAAAAATAATTTGCAAAAAGAATTTTGTAAGTTTATCCTACGAATGATGAAGTCTCATCTTTTTCCAAATGAAAATTTGAATATAACTGGTAGCAATAATCTGTTCGTAAAAAACATGTGTCAGTGTTAAGAGATTATGAAGCCATACAAGTACTTGAATTATGCCTGAAAAAGCAAATAAGTGTAGAGCTCCACAAATATACAACTTTTTCATAGTGCATTGCAAAACTTACTTTTCTTTAAAATCATTGTAATTATAATTCTTATACACTTTAATCTCTAACTAATTGTGCACAAACTTTCTTCAAAAAAAAAAAATTGTGTATATAACTAGAGATAAATAATTTGAGAAATAAAATATTGAAAAAGTACAATGTTAGATTTTACTTCATCGTAAAAATTTAAAATTCTTATTTATAGAAATAGGATGCTAGGCCACCCTAAATATTTATCTAAAGTTTTCAATTGTCCATGAACCTTCATGTTATTATAAAAAAAGAAAAAGGACAAAAACCCCCTGAGTTATGTCCAAAGGATTAAGTCCCGACATTTTGTAAAGACAATAACTCCTCTAGCCGCCAAATTAAAGGACAATTTAATAACTCCCCTAGCCGCCAAATTAAAGGACAATTTGTCCCCTGCATCAGTAAATCTTAGTGCAAAAAGATAGAAATACCCTTAAATCTAAACATAATTTTTTTCAAGACAAAATCTACCTTCCATCAATTCGTTTATTTTATTTTTAAAAAAAATCTTTAAACATTTTGGCTCCGATTCAATCCATCGCTAACTCCGTTTTGATGCATTATTTCTCCCTATGATTACCGCCTGAATAAAAATAAACCACAGATTGAGAATTTAATCTATCAAAACCATAAATTATATTTCTATTTATAGTTTTGATAGAATTTTGATAGATTAGTCGATCTCGGATATATTTTTTTCAAAACCATAAATTATATTTCTATTTCTATTTAGATAAATAGAATTTATGGTTCTGATAGATTAAATTCTCAATCTCGGATTTATTTTTATTGAGGCGGCAGTGATAGAGAGAAATAATCCATCAAAACGGAGACAACAACGGATTTAAAATGGTAGATAATAGAATTCATAATTTGGAGGGTAGGTTTGGTGTAATTTTTTTTTTTTCAGATTTAAGGGCATTTCTATCTTTTCACACTAAGATTTGCTAATGTAGGGAGCAAATTGTCCTTTAACCTGGCAGTCAGAGGGTTATTGTCCTTATAAGAAATGTCGGGGGCAATTTGTCCGTTGGACATAACTCGAAGGCATTTTGTCCTTTTCCTTTATAAAAATCATGTTATTATAAAAAAGTTCAACATATAAAATTCCTTTTACAAATTAAAGAATTCAAATTTCAATAAAATGTATAAAGTTTAGTATGACCCATGTTTTTTTTTATTTTTTTATAATGACGAGTTTGAAACCTTAGTTTTATGATAGTGAGTGATTTGGCTTGGATATTGAACACCCATCTCTTTCATAACTTTAAACTATATGTGAGAAAATTGGTATATGATAAAGACACAAATACTTAAATAATAATTACAATGCAACAAAATAGAATAAAACTATTGCTAAGGAAACTATATGACCAAAATCTGAAAAGAATGACTAGGATGGTTTTGATATTAACAAAAATGTCAAAAAAGATATTAATTGAGAAAAAAATAGTTGAATAATATTCTTTAAGGATACAAAGATACTTCGACCCTCATATTTAAAATAAAATATTTCTGATAACGGGTAAGTTAAGTAGAAATAAATTATTAGATAGATATGAGAAATAACTAAATCAAACGAATAAATAGGTTAAAAAAATAAAACAAGGTGAGAATGCATCGTATGTCAAAAAAAATAATAAAATAAAAGCACTGAAAACTGAAGTCACTTCGAGATAAGAAATAAAGTTCATGATATGCAATTAAGGTTGTGATTTCCAAGACTACGAATGTAGTTTACAAATTGCAGGATATATAATCATTCAATTCAAAAGTTTATTTGTTTTAGTTTTTATATATTTTCTTTTCGAGATTTCTTAGCAATTCTCTTAGCGTTAGATAATCATCACCACACCGTATTCGTTTGGTGAAGTGTTATTAATGTTTGTGTTATAAATTTTCAATAAAGTCATTGTATATTTTTTTTTTGAAAAATAGAAAACCTAAAAAAATATTAACCGTTTTTTCTTCGCTTGTGTTGTAATGTCTATATACATATATCCTCTCCGTCCATCGGACGGGTCTAACACCTAGTAGAGTATCACTAAAAGAAAAGTGAATCACTTTCTTCATATATTCAAGCGAGAGTAATAAGGATAGATATCAGTTCACCCTTTATATATGGCTCTTAGGAGGATATCAGTTCTTCAGATCAACAGTTCTGTCCATACGACCATTGGCAATGATTTCTATATACCCTTACTCGGTGGAGTCATGTAAGATGTAAATGAGGTAGAGAGATCATGTAAATACTGGTAAAAACACATTTGCTTGGTAAGTTCAAGCTCATTGGCAATAAGCCTCAGATGGAAAACACTACAACAAGAACTCGAACAGGAACATCTCAAACTGGAAACATATATATATTAAAGTTTACCATCAATGAAGGAAAGACGTATAAAGGATACAATATATAGTTCACGAAGTAAAGGAGTACATATGAACTGAAAAATAACTGCAATCATTATCATTGCAACAATGTACCAAGATGCTTTGGGGGGCCATATGGCCGTGATTCCAGGATCACATAAAATTATTCTTTCATTCGTTTTTGTGGGTAGCATTTGTATCATCTTACTTTCAAGATAACTTATTAGCAATCCTCTGATATCTTATTAATTATTTATCCTGCGTTTTAACGAAGAAATAACACTGTTTGGGATGCAATTGCATGGCATGCACATAAAATCTGAATATTGATCTCACACGTTTCAGAAAAGCCTCACCTCAGCCAGTATTTGTCTGGAATCAAAAGCCTCGGCAGTGGTAGTAGTATACAGTCCACTAGCCAAAAACTCAACATATCTATAAAATTTCAAAATCTCGACGACCTGTTTGTCTGCCACTTTCATTGTAGCAGAAGCAGTATGGCCTTCTTGCCAAATAAGTTCATGACTCCTGATGAATGGAGTAGGATTACGGAATTCTCAGGGGTAAAGCTCAATGTTTCCTCATACACTTAAGACATCAAAGGCTCAAACTTCAACATCTCTCACTAAATTGAACAGGAAGCTATGTCAAGCTACAAACTAAAGACTACAAAGCCAAAACCAACCTTCTAATAACAATAATCAAAACCAGTACACAGGTAGCAATTTCAAAATTCTACACTAAAGTAAGAGGATAGAACAAACAACCTGAGATCCCCAAAATGTATAATCCATATCCACTGAAACGAAAATGACTATATGCATGATCATCCAGGAACATCCATTGGAGCCAACTCATCAAATGTGATTTTGCAAGCGCGAGACACTCTCGAGAACTCCAATAGCTCTTTCAGTAAATTGTTGTTTTCCTTTTCACTCAGAACAGAAGAGTATATATGAACCGATTTCATCACTAAAGCATGATTGAGAACAAAGTTCAACATGGCCAACTCATCCTCAGTCCCTTCGAGCCCCTTATACGAAATTTCTGTGAGACTGTATAACAAGCATCTAGGAACATTGATAGGATCCCTCCAATATCTTTTTTGATAGTGAAAACAGCTTCCAAAGAATCCATTCTCAATAACCAGTACTTTTAATTGGCAACAAAAATCAAACAAATCCATGAAATAGCCCAATGGCGCACTGCGGTCCTTTTGTATTTTCAAATTGGTTAGCCACTTAAAACTTACTGAGAATCTGTCGGTGCCTTCAGGAGGTGGTATAATATTGTTGTAGATGACTTTGTATGGAAATTCCAGTACCTTCCCCTGATCACAAGCTTCAAGTAACCCAATAGTCAATCGGCGGCCATCAAGAACAGCTTCATTCAAAGAAGTTAATCCTTGCATAGAAATTTCATCCGAAACGCAATCGTTCAAGACTAGGTACTCAACTGCAGGGGTATCAATTTTCAACTTGTACTCACCAGGTTGATCACAGTAGCACTCATCAAAATCAATGTTAATGACAAGACGCTTAAGGGTAAGTGAAGATATATTACAAATTTGCAGGCCATCTGTGAAGTGATTCCTTACGATTCTTAGGCATTGCAGAGCTTCACACCCACTTATAAGTTTACGAAAAGACTCTGCCGAATCAAATTTCACAGAAAGTAACTCCAAATCAACAAGTTTTGGAAGACAAATTACATGAGGAGCTTTAAATAGGAATGGCCCCTGTAATTTGAGAACCTCAAGTGTCCCACAATTGTAGAGTACACTTGGCAAATAAAACTCTAAATCATGATCCCAATTATCAATCCAAAACTCTGAAGACATCATAACCAGATCTAGAACTCGAATTTTTCGGGCAATAGCAAAGTTTATCCATATATTAAGATGAATAGATAGGAATTTGCGGTTGTTTACCTTAAGACGAAACTTGGCCATGGAGATCTCGGTATTAAGGTTAATCAAAACCATGTTAACAAAATCCACAAACCTCATCTTGTTCGGATCCTCGGCACCATTATCCCTCGCGCGAGAAGACTTCTTGCTTCTATTACGCCACCAATCATCATCGAAATCGAAGCTCGTCAATCCAGTCCAGCGATGCTTCCAGCTTTTGGACACGAAACCCGTCGCAACAGCAGATTTTGTCGGAAGAAATGACAGAATGTGGGAGATGATTGGCTCCGGTAAGCTACTGATCCGATCAATTTGCTGAATCACGCCACAATCATCAGATAACTTTTGCGATTTCCGGATCGTTTCACTCATTGTTGCTTACATTTTGGATTGATTTTTCTGGTGGGGGATGGGGGAATCTGGAACCTCAGCTTTTCTTAAAGCAACGGATAATATGAAAGTCTCGTGCCATCCAAATACACAAATCCTTCCACCGAACAGTGAAACGGGGAAGTGATAATGTTATACTTCACATTCCCTTGGTATAAATAATGATAAAAAAAAAAAAAAAAAAGAAGTGAAATGATGCTCTTAACGTTCATACCATTCGATGTCAAGATTTTATTAGTATCTTTATTTGGACAATTGCCAATGATAACAACCCAAGGGAATATATTTGTACATTGATCATAAATATTTCTAAAACAGAACAAAACTTTGATAAGAACTGGTATATTTGAGATCGAAATACCTTAGAGCTAATGTCTACAGAAACAATCTTGAAAATGGAAACTATTCTTGCCATTTTTCATTCATAAAGACTGAAAATGCGTAAGATCAGTCGAATAATGTTAAGTCACACTGAGGCATCCAAACACGAAGGAGACGGTCATAGAATGAGCAAGTAGCCACAACAGCCCTATTTCCTATTTTTCCTTCCCCGGTAAACTTCCCTCTATGCCAATCTGCACCGTATGCAAGTGAACCGTGTTTTTCATACCTTTCAATTACCTCAGGCTCACCACCTTTCGTTTTCATCACTGCAAAACCATTGTGCATACACGCAGTCAAAACAACTCCTGGAATCGAAGGATGGTGCTTGATTCTCCACACTCCTCCCCCTAGACCAATTGAAGTTTCGTTCACAGGCCTCAACATTGATCTCAAATCCCACACCCTCAGCTGCTCGTCGTAGCTTCCCGTAAGTAGAGTATTAGTATCACTTGGGCTTTTTGTGATACAACAAATTCCCATTTTATGAACCTTGGAATTCTGGAAAACCATATTCGGAGAGTCATCACGCAAATCCCAACAACTAAACTTACAATCATCAGATCCCGAGTAAACAAGATGTGGTTGGTGGTGGTCAAAGGAGGTAGCCCAGACCTCAAAGTTATGTGCTTTCCATTCTTGTACAACACTTAACTGCGACTCACGTAAAGAAACTATCGAGACGCATCCATCAGAAAGACCCACTGTGACAGATGAGCCTGAAGGGTCCCAATCTAGACATAAACACATGGACGAACTAATATGCTCACCGCAAACATCTTCCAAACAATGCCCTGCAAAAGGCAATTCTTATTAACTTCAGATATAATGTGGTATAAGCGGGAACTAATGGAACAACTAAAAAGACATTTCTGAAATAGACAAACTTTGATATGCAAAATGGACGGTAACTATGTTCACTACATACAACAAGAAAGAAAAGTTATAAGACCTGTAGAATTGAATTAAAAAACCTGAAGTGTTCTTACTGCTAGCATACCAGATTCGAGCTTACACATCCGTCACATATGAGCTTTCATCTAACTTCCTGACTGGTAAGACAGATTTTACCTAAATCTAATCATATACATTTGATCCCACAAAAAATATCAAATTCATTGCATTTTGTCCGTGAAGCATTATGTCATGTGATCTACCCAAACAAAAAAAAAAAAAAAAAGAAACTACATGTATTGGTTTTATTCGAATAGTTAAATAACCATATCATTTACTTATGAATCCTGGATGAGTACTAAACTACCCTACTCACCTGTCTAAGCCATGATATGTCATCTTATAAAACATTAATGTTAAATGCTGCAGACAAAATCACACAGATATCAAATTCAACAAACACTTGATAGAATCAGTATCATGTGTGTAACACAATAAGATCTGTGAAACAAACTTCCTTTCAAATCCATATCTCATACCAGGTGTTTCAGACCCATTTAAACAACATCCAAGCCTATGAATTCTCAAGTAACCATCAGCATCTGCTTGAGCAAGCAAAGGTATCGTATCACCAACAACGGGGTTCCACTTTATATCAAAAATCCCAGCAGTCTCAGCTCTATAGGCCAAGTCAAGATTACCAACATCAGCATCAAGATTAAAAAGAGAGATGCTTCCAGTTCGTTTAGGCTCATCCCCCTCTTGTAGCGTGTACGTGGAGGCTGCAAGCACATGCTGGAATGAATTGTGGGGGCAAAATTCAACAGCATCCGCATTGCCATCCACGAAGCAATTAGCCAAATCCATCAACCAGTAAACTATTACCTGATATTAAGGGAAAAAAGGGAAAAAATTTGTAACGGAAATCCAATTTAAGATGAGCAAACTGAACTCTCATGAAGCACCTCAGTTATCAAACACACAAGGATACACAAGGACACACCATTGATATTAGTGTTTTCAAACAAATCAAAGTCCGAAGCAAACAAGATAAGGTCTTCAGATGTCAAAGGGTAAAAGTAGTAACCATACTGCAAAGAGAGATCAGTCACTCCGAATCATATTAAAACCAAAATTATAAATTTTATATAAGTCAATAATGCAAGAAATCAAGTCTCTTATGAAATTGAACAGGAGAAACATTAATGGTACCCTAAATAACTTTCCTTCCCCTGTCCTCTAGATAACTTTCCTTTCCCCGACTATATCACCCTTACAACAGCTCGGAAACTCTTCCTCATACCCTTCAGGGCTAATAATCTACTTAATTTCACCAATGGAAAACCACTATTTACAATGTGTTCCATTTAACCAAACACACAATTATGACAGCAAACAAAGAAAAATGAGGAGGTCGTTTGACCATAATACATACCAATTTGACAAACAAAAATTTGGACTTCAAACCAGAGCAAACGGTTTACGCAGCAAAAGAAAATCAGCCGTGGGGTAAACTCAGTTCAGGCAGTTTTCCGGTTGCCGTTTGCCTTCAAAATTGAGAATGGCAGGACCGTTAACATAGTGCACGCATTTCAACAACCGCAGATAAATGAAGTTTAAGCAGGACAGAAAATGCCCAGCCCTTCTATTCTACCAATAGAATAACTCAACCAAAACAAAGCCCCCAGCATAACACGCTTGAGGACTTCTCAAGGAGTTTCAAATGTTATTTCTACAATCACAAAGAATATACTAGCTGCATTTGTTGTATTGACTAAATCGACGCCAAAATTTCAAAGATAAATAGCTTCATAATCATAGGGAAAAGAATAAAAAGAAGGGAAAAAAACCCAAAAAGAATTCTTACCCTCCAATTAAAAACTTCCTTCACCTCTGACCAATAAAATCTTAATTTTTCAGCCGGAAGTACCAGCCGTGGAGAGTTGTTGATTCAGTGACAGAGAAGTGAGGAAAGAGGAGAAAGAAAAAAATGGGAGGGAAACGGTATCTGACGGTTGAATTTTATTCTTTGGCAGCAAACTTTTGATATTGGATTGGTATCGAAAGACGAAAACAGAGGAGAAGAGGAGGAAGAACAGACAAAGACGGCGGGACTGGAAGTTCAAGGTTGTTTAGTAGAAGAGGGGAACAAGATGAAGTCGATTTTTGAAGAGGGTAAGGCTCCATTTGGACAAGAGTTTCAAAAAGACTTTTAATACTAAAAATTCTGTTTAGAGTTTAAAATGCGTTTGGACAAAATAATTAAAGTCTTTTCTAAACGTCATTTTGAAAAAAAGAAGGCTTAAAACAGACATTTTAGAAAATAAGTAGGAGGTATTTTTCAAATTTTTGAAACAGACTCTTTCAACTCCGTTCGCGGGTCATAATGCTGGTCAAATCCGGGTTATGAAAATTTCGGGTAATGAATATAAAGGAAAAAACATTCCCTTCTCACTTCTTCCATACCCTAATCGGCCGCCCCTTTCTCACTCTCTCTCCTTCTCGCCGTCATATTTCTTTCTCGCCTCTCTTTCAGCCGTGCGGCACCCACCCACCGTCTCTTCGGTTTTTTTTTTCATGGCCTGATTGCTGCGGTTGTGATGGTGTGATTTTTTGGTTCCCTCTCTGATTATCTTCGATAAATCTCGGTTTGTTCGCTGTGGATTCCCGGCAGTTGAGTTTCCTGCATTTCTCCTAACGCCTAAGCTTGCCAACCCTGTTCTTTGTTTGTTTTTGAGGTTAAAGCTTTACTTTGAATTCTCTCCCTCTTTTAGCGGAATTGATTTTATGTTTGTGGGTTTTTTTGTTTTTGTTTTTTGGTGTTTATGAAATGTATAAACATCCTCTGGGGATTTAATTTTGAAATGCTTGTTAAAATTGGGAGAAATGCTAGGGTTTTGTTTGCTGTAATTAGGTTTAATCGGAAGGGGTTTTTTTTTTTTGGTGTGTTTCGATGATTTTTCCCTCCTCTCTGTTTGATTAGGTTTTACTTGTGTTATCTTGTTCTATAAAGTCTCTTATTGCGTTGTTGAAGATGAGTTCAAATTTTCGCAAATTGAGATTATTTTCTGCTTGAATATTTGATTGATTATTACCACAAAAGTACTATGACGTTTAGGGCTTTTTCATGGTTTGCGAAATCAAGTATAAAAAGTTATGGGTTTCTTGTTCAATTGATTTAATATTTTGGGAAGAATGGAATTTCAAGTAGAATGGAATTTGCAGAGTTGCTGTTTTTGTCCAAAACTTGCATGTTCGGTTTTTTGCATTAAATTTGCACCAGTGAAAGTGAACACATTTTATTTTTGTTGATTTTTGACTTAAAAAAGAACCCAATGAGGCATCTGCCTCTTACTATGTGAAGTTATTGAGTTGCTGTTGTTAGGAGATCTTCTAGAGTTTGTGCTTTTTGTTTTTTGTTCTTTTTGTACTACTTGTGGGTTGATGGCCACTTTTGATTTGTTATAATGATCACATTGTTCTAATTCATTTTCTCCACTAGAATTAGTTTTCAGCTTAAGAGCTCTTGTTAGGAGATCTTCCTTCTCCATCTAGTGCTTCCGAGATGTTCATTCTTCTTATTCAGAGATGTTCAAGAGAATGCTTAATGGAACATGAAGTATCTTAATTGCGATCCTTAATCTAGAAGGAAACGTTTTAAGTTTAATTTAAGCAGTGGATTGTGTATTTTCAGACACTCAAAATTTCAAAGATCATATCAGTACATCTCTTTTCAGACATCCAAAATCAGTAGGCTTTGGGATGCCTTATAATTGAGACCGCGTGGATCTGAGTACTGTTACCGTACTTGTTTGCCCATTTGCAGTCCAAACTTAATAACAAGATAAAAGAGTAATGGCTTACCAAACTAAATTGGCTGTAATAATATATATTCAGACCGAAAATGGAAGAAGAAAGAAGACCCACTCCTTCTGATGTATACTCCTTATCCGTGATATAGTAGTACTCTTTGACATACACATATTAAGCATGTTTCCTTCCCAAACTAATGATTGATCCCTTTGAAACTGACGTGACAACCCCCGGAGTATCATCTTCTTAGTAATTCACTTGGATCAATGTTTGGGATTTGTCCAATTTATTGTAATTGATTAGTTAACATGTTGGTTTAATGTATTCTGGAACACTGAAATGTGATTAGTTAACATTTGGGGCTTTTAAAAATGTGATTTTCAGTTGTGTTTATCTGTCTCTTCCTCTCTCTTATTCAGGGAATATTTCGTTCTGATGATTCGATTTAGCTTCGTCTATTTAAATTCTATTTCTTCTGGTAGTTCTGCTTTTCCTTTCTTTATTAACCTGCCTCAGTTGTTGTTACACTCTGCTGAAAAAGAAACTGTTCTTCATTATTTCCTGGGGCGATTTTGTAGACTTATATGTCTTCCTTCATGTCACATTCTGCCAAAAAAGAAACTGTTCTTCATTATTTCCCTGGGGTGTTTTTGTAGAATTCTATATCTTCCTTCATGGCTTTCTGATAGAATGTTTTGAATGTTGGTTTAGTGTTTATCCTCTGGCTATACTGGATTAATTTTTTGAACAGTAATAAAACATATACTAGTAACAGAGTCTTGCTCTTTTTTTATTACTGTAGTGACTTGTATAATGTTATTTCTACTGCTAAAACAGGTTAATGAACTTGAGCAGAAGTTGGAAAAGCAAGGAGGTAGCATTGGGAATCTACTTCAAAGGGTGGTCTGCAGGTGCTTTTCTAATTCTGAGTTGAGTATGTTTGTTAATTAGGATATCACATAGCACACCTTCTTTCTACCTTGATATCCTCATAACAGCAGCTCAACTAGGCAAATTTCGTACAACCATATTCTTGTTCACAGTGCTTGATTTTCAGTCACTGTTTATTTATTTACAATATTTGGAAGTCATCTGTTTATTTATGTTGTGGTCCATCATTGTTAGTGTCTAAAGCTGTGCTCTGCAGCTGCAGGTCACAGATCGTATTCGTTTTTATATTTCTTAGCAACTTGCATGAGCATTAGGTGATACATTTGAAGTTATATGATATGATAAATGGTGTAATACTTCATATGAGATTGATCAATGTTCTGCAGCAAAATCTTCTCGTGTGAGTGTGTCTCTTTCGTGCTTTATGTTGTGAGTGGGATTAAGAATCCACGTCAGTTTTGAGACTGTAGCCATAAGAAAAAACAAAGAGTTGTTCCTTAAATCAGATGTCCTGTTTCCTGCACTTTGACTCTTTGAGGCCTGTTCATAATGGAGAGTTGTACAAGGATCAGCGTAAATAATAAGCTTGAAGAATCCTTTTCATCTGTGAATCACAGATTTTTTGCATTTGGTTTTTCTGATGAAGTTTGAAGCACTTTCAGATTACAAGATAAAAGTGAACTAATCTTCTAAAACTGCGGTACTCATGGCTTCTTTCTGCAATGTCAAGATTGTGGTTATTGAATACCTTGTCTTATACTATGTATCATATGCCGCTATTGCTTTTTCGGTTTAAGGTCTTTTTACCTGTGTTTGATGACCTCAATGTATGCATTCTTTACTTGCCCTGCGCGTTTCTTGCTTTTGTTGGTTCTTTAGCCAGTTAGTGAATTTGACTGATTGGTGTGGGGTGGTATCTCCAGTTGTCTAACTATGAAGTATATTTTTGTGAAGCAGAAGATATAAGAGATTCAATATGGCCCTGAGTAGCTGATGCTGTAGGCAAATATTCTCTTTTCACTCTTGAGATTTAAGTTTTCTCACTTCTCAGCACTCTTCCCATTTGTATATACACATATGTATACTGCCTTTGTTTGTTGTTGTTAGTGGTGACATTTTATTGTGTCCAAATTGACAGTACCCTCTACACTCCCAAATATATTGAAACACCTAGTGTAAGTCATCTCATGGCTCGTTTTTCTTCATTGTTGGAAACTATGCAGTCGATCAATTTTGTGATGCCTGAGTTGTCATGTCCTTTAGTCATATTGCTGCCATGCTTTTATTTTCCATTTGGAAGTTCTTCTGAGCTTGTGCAGACTGTTGTTTCTGTTACAGCTTTGTATCATTTAGACATTGATAAACACATTGTTCTAAGTGATTTTAATTTTGTGGACTGATGTGTTCGTACCTTAATTATACCTTGATTACCTGATGGACATGGATTTTAGTGGGGGAAGGCTTCACTTGCTCGGAGCATTACTATATGCCTTTCCATTTTGTATCTTGACCGGGCATAAGAAATTGTTATTAGCTTTGCAAACTTTTTCTTAAATGCTTCCTCGTTTTCTGTCATCTAAGTTGTATTTTATTGCGATCTTTTGATGATGCATAAATGATGGACCACAACATGACAACAATAGTTATTATCTCCATGACAGCAATTCATTTTTTGGTGGTGATTACATTGATTAATAATATGGTTTATTGTCTTTGGAACTTTTGCACAGGTAAAGGAATATTTCAATCATATTCATTCTTCTTTGAGGAATGTGATTGAAAGAACTTTCGGCATACTGAAGCGCAAGTTTGCTTTTCTTAAAGGGCCAATGAATAACTATGATTTTAAGAAGCAAGTGAACTTTGTGAAGTAGAAGAAGTTGATATGTCTACTCCTGCCATAGCCCAATGGAATAACTGGTGAATGACCATAGCAACACAAATGTGGAATGCGTGTTAGAGTTTTAAATATTGTGGAATTCGTATGCGTTGAATGTGTGGATTTTAAAATGTTGTGAATTTATTCCAAGTCTTATGAACCATGTGTTATTTTTTTTTTGAGAGTTGGATGTTTAAAAATCTCTCGATAACAATATTTCAAATTTATTATGCATTCGATAAATTAGAATGGTTTTAATATTATGCTTTAATTTAGTCATATAATGGTTTTAAAATGAAATAAAAATGCAATAATAATATGAAAATTTGTGTAAGTATTTCCTTTTATTACAAAAAGAAAAGAAAGGTGCAATAATTATTTTTTGACAAAAAGTATTTTTGGAAAAGGTCTAATCCAAATAAATTTTTAATATTTTTAACTACAAAAAGTTTTTTGTTAAATTTTTGTCCAAATGGATTTTTTTTTCAAAAAGTCTTTTTGAAATTTTACTCTAAAAAGACTTATTTGAAAAGTTTTTCAAAACACTTGTCCAAATGGAGTTGACTGTCGAAATTTTACCGTCGATTTTGACGGGGTTCCAACGGAATTGACGTTTCTTGGGTCTTACGCCGTTACTCGGATCCAACACGCTTTATATGACTTTGCCGCCTTATTAACGTCGTTGGGAATATATCTACAAAATAAATAATTAGTATTAAATTTCACTTTTCCGCCTTTCCGTATTTTTTTTTCTCTTGTTCCATCCCTCTCTCTCTCTCTCTCTCAGTTCCTGAGAGAATCCCTCCGCCGAGAGACGCTGAGGACGAGGAGAATGGGTTTCTCTCTCCGCCGGATTGCTGCTCTTTCCGTCGTCCTTTCGTTCTGCGTTTTGTTTTCTTTTGCATCATTTCCTCCCAGCGCCACCGCACTTAAAGGTACTGCTTTTGCTTAATTCTCTCATTGTATTTGGTAGTAGCGAATCATTGGTTTTCTCTCCTGCTTTTTTGGGTTCGATACATAATTAATTACTTGGGTTTGCTTTATTTCTGAGTTTGATCGTATTTTTATGAGTATTTGGTTTCAGCAATTGTTTGATTGGTGAGTTTATGTTTAGCTTATAAGTAGGGTTTATTGCTGTGGGCTTTTCATATGAATATTTCGCTTTTAATATGATATTTGCATTTTAATTTAGTTTTGTTGATTCAGAGTATTTTTGGCTTCTGTATTTTTGAGGTTTTGCATGTGTGAATATATTACTGATGGTTTGTACACTGACATGAAAGATGGGAGTATAGTTCAGTTTCAGTTCCCAGCTATGGTAATCATTTGTTAATGTTTAATGTTTTAAGTTGATTAAGCAAAGTTAAGAAATTTGCAGGCATTGATGTGGGAAATCCGGCTGTGGACGTTACACCATCGACTTTGGTTGAGCACGATGGGTCTAAAGGTGCAGCATTGTGCGAGCGTGTTCAAGTTTCCGGCATCTCTAGATTGAAACTGGCCAAGTACGTAACTGCATATCGAGTGATGGTGGCCCCTTCTGTGGTTATTCCAGAAAGGCTGCATCATAAGATACAAATATGCATCCAGAGGTAAGTAGATAAATGCCATTACTTTGGTTTTGAGATGTGCTGATGATTTGGATTGCTTACATCATTGAAATGCATGTGCAGGAATTCTTCACTTGGATTGTGCCAGTGTGGGAAGGATGATTGGAAAAATTTACAGAAGGGAGTTCTGATGTCTGTTGGATCACCCTACGAGGATAGATATATTGATGTGAAATTTGCTGCAGACCTTTCTGGTTCTGTGACCGTCACTATTCAAGAAGGTGGGCAATTGTTTTCCATGAATTTCTCTCTCTCTCTCTCTCATTTTTTTTTTTTTGTTTTGGATCTGCTGGTTTGCCTCCTTATTCACATCTTCCTTTTAATTTTTCCGCAGATTTTCAGCAGTGGCGGTTGGGATTGTTGGCTTTGGGCGTGATTTTGTTCTTTTTGGCACCAGTTATTAGCAGTTGGGTGCCTTTCTACTACAGTAGTTCAATGGCTATAGGCATATGCGTTGTTGTGCTTATCCTCCTATTTCAGGTAATATAAATATTAATTCCTTTAAACCTACTATATTCAATGAGTTTGATTACATTTGTTGCCTTTCTAGCAATTTCGTTGCCTTGTGAAAACCTTTTTAGTTCATCGATGATTGCACCTTTACTTTTAAAGGGATCATCAGTAGTTGCATGGTGAGTCGTTATATTAGCATGGGCTACTACTACGGAGGCTTCCCTCGTGTTGTCTTTATCACTTGTTCACCAAAATGATGTTAGGTGTAAGGCACCTTAGTAAGTCTATTGAGATGGCATAGGAGATTATGACTTCATGTAGAAAAATCTTTGGTTGGTGCTTTTAAGACAGGAAGCATCAATTGAGGAAGAAACTACCTTGGAACGTTTTGCCTTGCGAATTTGGATGAATTAAGTGAGTGAATTAAACTTGAGCATCATATTTACAAGTATGGATAAAAAGCATGAACTGAAAAATATCATACCCTAAGGCATTCAGGGCATCTATTTCACAACTGTATACTGTGGAAACATCTGTTTTATGACTGGCACTTTACACTATTGATGATTACTATTAGGTTAAACTCCTTGGGTTTTTCAATTTTTCAAAGAACTTGGAGATTCGAAATGATTCTATGCATGAACAAATTTGTTTTTATTGAGATAGTTAGTTCATCCATTTTGGTGTTGCGATAAGTTTCTCTTAGTTATTTTGGTATCATTTTCACTACTTCTGATCTTATTTCCTTCTGCTTTGGCACTGGAATTAGGGGATGAAACTATTGCCGACAAATAGGAAGAATTTTTTCTACCTTACCATTTATGGTTCTGTGGTAAGTATTTTTGTTATTTCTTTGTTTTTTATGGTATAGTAAGTGTTTTCATAATCTTTCTTGAACTTATGCCTTCTCATTTCTCAGCTTGGAGCAGGATCTTTTCTACTAAAACATTTCTCAATGATGGTCAATTCCCTTCTAGTCAACTTTGGGCTCAGTGAAGAGATGCATAATCCTGTAAGTGGTATATTTTATCTGCCGCGTACCGTCTTCATTGGTGAAAAATGTTTATGTGCATTGTGATACCATCTGTATTCAATTAGGAGCAGAAAGCTGGTGATGTGCACTTGTGGTTTTCTAAGTAGAAATGCATAGACCCTGGCACACACATCTAACAACGACAACTGAGCCTTCACTTTGGGTCATTTCTTGCCTCATCAAGACGTACACTCATATTGGCGCATGTATGCTACACACTCATGGGCGCGCACACACACTCACATTTCATGCACATATACAGATACATTCAGGCATGAAAAAAACATAGATATTGGACTTTTTTTTATTAAAAGCATTGCTGTAAAAGTATCTGTTATTGAAGTCATGATTATTCTGCATTTCTGTTTGTGATTTCGTTTTTCATTTATCACTGGTTATTTTTTTATTATGTTCCAGGTCTCTGTTTTCCTATTTGTTGGAATTGTCATTGCGGGGGCTGGACTCGGTTATTGGCTTGTCCGCAAATTTGTCATTGCAGAAGATGGAAGTGTTGATGTCGGCATCGCTCAATTTGTGAAATGGGCCATACGAACAATTGCTGTTACTTTGATTCTCCAGGTTCAGAACGTTTCCAAAATATTGAATAATTTGTGTTTATATTATGCTTTTGATATCTATATTCAAAGTGATTGGTAATTGTTTGTGTGCCTTTTGCTACATACACTCCTGTCTAAACTGATGCAAATTACAAGATCTTCTTTGTTCTCTATTTGGATAGAAATTATCAGGCTGACAATAGACTGCTGATAAAATCTAATGCCATCGTTGATGATTAACTGTGCAGATGTTCTTAAAACTTTTGTGTATTAGAAATTTCCAAGTTTTCTGTCTGCCATTTGTATAGTGTGTGCTAGGAATTCTCTTAACTATAGTGGCTTTGTTTCTCTGGTAACATGGTGTAATTCTTGCTTTTGGGGTTTTTTGGTCCCTACTGCTAAGACTAAGATGTATGACCTACCTAGCTCTTGGTTTTTTTCGCTCGTTGAATATATACTGGGCAGCATCCACACGACTGCACTGACGTGTATGCTGACATCATTTTTAGACTACTGGGAACTTTGTGTGGATGTTGTGTTCAACATGTCTACGGCTGTTAACATCCTCTGTTTTTTCAATTGCAGAGCACTCTTGACACTCCTTTGGCAATTTTGATGCTGGGTTCTTGTTTGTTGTGTTACTTCCTATTTACCTCAGTGAACTGGGATGAGGCTGGGTGAGTTCTTCTATACTTTCTTAACTATTTCCTTTGTTCTTTGCTTCATGTTCTTTTAGTTGAGTTGAATTTTTCTGTTTATTTCCTTCTATCCCATTTGTTCTTTTTATGTTGAACCATGCACTATTGGTTTCATCTTTAACTTTCAAAACGGTAAATTCTTAAAGATAAACATCGTTCTAGTTTTTTGTCTGCTCTGCATGGGCGGTTTTAGTTTAATATACTTGCAAGAAACCGATTTTCCCTTTGTTTCGAAAGAATGATAAATCTCACCATTTGTCCATCATGTTGTGGAGGTTTTTGCTTGTATGTTGTACTATGGCCCTTGTTAATCTTACCTAATGCTTGTGAGCTAGAAGGAGTGCATATAAAACATGAAAGAGAAATTATGCTTTTGAATTTCATTAGAGTTTAATAGAGATTTTCCTGATTATAATTATTGGGCCGTGATAATTTGGACAAAAAATGCAGTACTACGTAGTATGCTCATCAAGCCTCTTTCATCGTTTGACTTCCTACAGGTTGCAATCATTTTCTCAGAGTGGGAGCTCTTGGCCATGGAGTACTGACAATGCAATTGTTAAACACAAACATGCTGAGTTTTACAGCAGACCCTGGAAGAAGGATCCTCGAAGTACCATTTGGGATATCCCAAAAGGCTCATTTCCGAAGTCTCCTGTAAAAGGTATTCTTCTAAGTCATTTTCTACGTAGCAAGTATATTACTTGATAGCTAAACACTTTAACATGCATGACAGATACTATGATGCCTTTAGTTTTGCTTGGTTGAGATGGGTTATTAAAGGTTAAAAGTAATGGATTTTTGGTAGGTTGCCATTCCTCTTTTTGAATTATCTTTCTGAAATGTTATGATAAATCGGCTGAGTAGAGGTAACATTCTGAGCCAACACTTTAGGTATCTCGCATGAGATCCTGGAAAAATTCGCATATCACTGCTTCAAGTTCCAAAATTGAGCATATCCATATGGAGCAACATGGTTTCCTTGCATGTTCACCAAAAGATGAAAGTACATGCAACTCTCTTCTGCAAAAGCTGAGGATATCTAGGTTCCATTGGCTGAACATTGTTGTTTCTGCTGATTGTTTACATTTCAGCCAGATGGAAGGACCTGTAAGACTGAAAGATATTTTATCTGTGAGATAAAAGTAGGGTACAGAAATTTGGTTTGCATATTTTTTGTTCAATCTTCTCCCGTTTTGATTTCTTGTCTTTACCTAGGAGCACTTTCTTGGCCTCATTATTGTCAAGACTTGATTTCTGCATTTGCTGCCGCATTTAACCTGGCTACTTTTTGTTGCTGAATTCCTCTTTGCATTTTGTGCTGTGGTTTGCAGTTCCCACGTCAGGATTGCTGTCTCCTGCTCAAAGAGTTAATAAGAGACGTCAGCAGCAGGATTCTTATTCTCCGTCTGGCCGCCGGTCAGCAAGAAGCAGGAAGGACTATTATTCTACATATCATAAGACCCCTAATAGAAAAAAGTACACGCAAGAAGAGTGGGAACAGTTTACACAAGAAGCTACTCGTCAAGCTGTGGCTGAGTTGACATCATCTCCTGAATTTACCGAATGGGTTATTAACAGTGCTGATAGGATGCAAATCCTCCCAGATGACACCTCAGATGAAACAGTGGGAAGTGGATCTGATTCCACAGATGAGCAGGTTTTCGATGATAGCACTGGCTTCCGATTATTCAAGTGGTAGAACTTAACTGTAAATTTTAGCTGGTAACGTAGGACATTTGTTCGTTAACCACTTTTGTAGAAGAACCCCTACTGCTGAGCTCTAACCATTCAAGGATAAGAAAAGAAAACAGAAGATAGTCAGTTCAAGAATATCGAAGAGTTTTGTAATTAGACTTTGGGTTTAGCATCTTTCAACGTGTAAAAATATGTTGCAGTTGTGTTCCATTTGCTGACTTCTAGGTTAGCTCAACTCCCACTTCTCTAGATTGTTACTGTAATCGATTAAATTGCTTCCTTTTCCTATTTTTGAGGGAATCAAGATATCATTTTTACATAGTTGCACTTTACAACGTTGAGTAGGGCTTAATAGTGTTTGCTGAGAGAATGGTGCAGAAGTAGTGTGCGCCTTTCTTCCTTTTCCTACTTGAAATGGTTCACCACTTCACCTTGTGTAATATGTGAGAGGATCTGTAAGGATGAAATTTTCTTCGATGGTATCGGGACAGACATGAGGCTGATCAGAAATTATATAATGCTGAGTCATCATGGTTGATACACATGCAAGCAAAAAATAGAAGGTGCGACTTCTCCCATCCTAGAAAAACTAGTGATGTCTGGTCGCATAATGCGCGACACTGACCTAATATATCTGTAGATTTTAGAAATGTTTGTATCTGGAAAAAAAACTATTTTGTATTTGGGCCGATATATTTTAGAAATGTTTGAAGAATTTAGAAATGTTTTATAAGTGTGATCCTAGAAATGTTTGTATTTGGCATAAAAAGAAATTATATTTGGCCCGGTACGTTTTAGAAATGTTTGAAGATTTTAAAAATGTTTTATAAGTGTTACTTCTTAAATATAAATAAACTTGATCAAATATATGTCTTGAAATAAATGCAAGACAAAATATAAAAGTATCCTCATAAATTTAAATATTAGTAAGATAATTTATTGATGTTCTCCATTAGTTGTGCCAAATCAATACTTAGTTTTGGAGATTTATAATAGCTTTGTAGTAAGCTTCCTCCAAAGGGTATACGCTTAATTATTGAAACTATTTCTTCCAAAAGTTTATACGTAGTAAAATATCAAAAATATGATTTTGAAATTGGTTAATTGTTGAAACTGGTTGATCACAAATATGAGAATGAAAATAATGTAAATTTACATAACTTTCAAGTTATAGCGAAAAAGAACTCACCTCACCATGGCAAATTAAAAAAAAAAGAGTAAAAGATAGTCTATTAAAAATTGAGAAATTTATTTTTTTCTGTAGGTAAAAATGATGTATAAAAACACAAATAAACGTAGAAAAATCATTCCTTCCCTCTCCATATCAAATTCATAAAAAGTTTCCCAATAAATTAGTTAGAAAAAGCGATCTGAACTATTTATATGAGGAACTAAAAAATGTCCAAAAACCAAATTCAAAAAAGTATATTCTTGAAAGACCGAACACCAAAAAAAAGCGCTCCATTTGTAAATAAAATAAAATAATAATAATAATAATAATTGGTCAACTTGGAGTATGAAACAAAATCAAAAGCAATTAAACAAAGAAAAAAAACGCACTTCATAACTGACCATATATGGAAAAAAAACCTGAGACTCCATAATTAAAAAAAGAAAACCAATCTAATTAAATAAAACATAAAAAAGAAATTTAAAAAACCACATTTTGTAACAAAAACCTAATTAATCAATTCAATCCAAGCAGAACTAAAATCATACAAAAATTCTATGCTAACTAACCATATAAGAAATCACATCATATTGCTTGACAACGGCTACGGTAGCTGTAACGGATGGACGCATAAAAATAATAGTAATAACATTATTCTTGAACGGAAAAAATAAAAAATAATAAAAGCTAAACAAATGATTTACGGAAATAAAATCATTTAAATTTTAATACCTGTAATGGCACCACCATAATGGCCGAAGTAAGATCAATGAGAATTTTTTTTTCCTTTGTTTTATATAGTGAGGTAAAGAGAATATTTTTTGAACTCAAAATATTTTCAGATTAGGATGTAGTTGATCATCACTAATGAAAAAATTTAACATGCTAATAGGAAAGGAGTATATTTCACCACATATTCTCAATTGATGATTGATGAGAAATTTTTTTTTTTTTTTATTGTGGAGAAGGGATTGATTGGGGAGTCGATTGTCGTGGAGATGGGGATGAGAATTTGGGTTTTTTTTTTATGAACACATGGTTTTTTTTGGCGAAAATAGGAGGTGAAGATGGATTTGAACTGCATTTGCCTTTTAAGTCTAGGAGATGTGTAAATAAAAATTTATTTTAAAAATATGAAGTGTGGTTTTTGTTTCTAATATAGTAAGATGTTGTACCTTACTATTTACGAATTGGTATTATTTATAATACTCTTCTTAAATTAGGAGTACTATCTTTCTAAAACTGAACCAACCATTTAAGTTATTGATGTTATTACAATTGTTAAATTACAACGGGAGTACTATCTTCTTTGTAAAAGGGAACAAACCGTTTGATTTATTGATGTTAGCGATTGTCTCAGATATTATTAAACAAACATAATGTCATGGAGAAAAATTACTACCTTCCCTTCGAAATTTTGTAAATCGGTAGTACCCTTCTCACTTCCTAATTAAGAAATTTTAAAAATGTTGAATGAGTTAAATTCTAAGAGGTATCTTGGAGACACTGTAATTAAAAAAATTCAAGTTTATGTCCAAAAGTCAAGCTCAGGATTCATTAAACGAACTTTTTTTTTTTTGACAAATTAAACGAACTCAAATTACATCAAATTTCGAAAGTTTCTTCACTAGAATAACATAACCACCTCAAATATTCTCTTCCCCAATTTCTTAAAATTGGGTGAAGTTGATGATTTCTAGAGACTTGCAATTTCATACGAACGATTTTGTATCTATTTTTTGTGCTTCGAAGAAGCAAAACAGTTATGGACCTTTTGGTTGGACATGCAACTTCCATATGGTGGAGTAAGTGATCAAAGAAGATTTGCTCTTGGAAGGAGGTAAAAATGGTTATTCACTTTTGCAGAATGTAGATCAATTTGTGTCTAGCAAGTCTCCCACTTTATGAAGTGGTCAACGCCAACAGAGGGCTAGCCCAATTGGATGGGGTTTTAGCATCAGACTTGAGATACCCGAGTTTGAACCCTGCTTGCACCGTCAAGAAGCTTTTCAAATATCAGATTTAGGCGTGTAAGTGTGGAGTCTCTCTCTTAATAGTATTATTCCCTTCCCTATAAACCATATCCACATATAATAGATTAAATGTATATCAAAAAAAAAAAAAAATGAAGTGGTCAACCATTTTCCCATCTCTACAAGTGATCGACTTTCCTGTGTTGACGGAAGGCCGATGACCTTGTTTTTTTTTATATAATTTCAAATTTCTCTAATTTAGATTCCAATATTTAATTATCTAATGAAATTAAATCAATTATACTAATGACAAAAATCAATATAATGATTATTAGGGTTGAGAAAAATCCTCAATGAACCCTTCACTTCTACGTCGTTTTAACTTTCAAAAAACAAAACAAAACAAAAAAAAACACCTTGTCTTTGAATCTTGCCCCATATAAGAATAAAGCAGATCCTATTGAAGTTATTGAATCCAGAGAAGATATGAAATCTCTGTTTGGGAGCTTTGTTTTTGGATGGTTTTTTCATTATTATTAATTAATAACTGTCTCATTTCAACACACTTTTTTATAATTTCAATATACTTTTTTATATTTCTAATTCCAAAAATACTTAAAAGCACACACTAAAAAAAGATCCAAACACAACTGAAAGTGAATAATGAGTGCAATTAAGTCAAAATTAAAATATTTTGGTTGTATAATCTTTATATATTGAGAGCTGAGGATTTCATGACAAATTGAGGCATTTTGCCTCAATTGAAACATCTCTTCGAACACTTATAAAATTGATGGAGGTCATAAAACAAATATTAAGCAACTGGGAGGCTACTAAACGCCCTAAAAATTTCCCTTGAGCGCCCTAATTAAATACCAAATGACCATTTTGCCCTTACATGATTTTATAAATTAAGAGTTTCAATTTCATTCTTTCAATTCCTAAATCAATCTTTCATTTCAAATTCTCTCAATCCAAACTCCTAAAAACTTAGATTCAATGGCTGATCGAATGAAACGGCTACGTAAAGAGCTACAGAAACTGAAGGTACGTAAATTTGGATTGTTTTTTTGAATTTGAATTAGTAGGAGTATTTATAAATAAAAAAAATAAAAAAAAACACCACCGGCCCGGCCGGCGAGGGAGAACCGCGCCGAGACGTGAAGGAGTGGCGCAGATTACAGAGCTGGCGCGGATCTGCGCGCCAGCTCTGCACGCCCCGGCGCGGTTCTCCCTCGCCGGCCGGGGCGGTGGTGGCGCAATTTTCTTCGCCGCCGGATGCTGGGGTGGCGAAGAAAAGTCAAGCCGCCTGGCGAGAAAACCCGGCGCCGGCCGTTTTTTTTTTTGTTAATTTGTAATATTATATATTTAAATTTAATTGCTATTTATAAATTGTATAGTAATTGTAATTTAATTGTTACTATTAGTAATTGTAGGTCTTATGAAATTTAGTTCAATTATTTATTATTAGTTAAATTTATTAGTTATTTTTATTAGTTTAATTAGTTATAATACTTTTGTAGTTTTAGGGAGTTTAACGGTTTTTAAATTAAATTGGATCATTATGAAAGTTATTATAAATATAATTATAGAAAATATATTTATTGGATTAGTCGGTTTAATTGAATTAGCCCAAAAAAAGTATCAAACGTAGAAATTAAATACTTAGTATAGGAAAATTAAATAAATAAGTTAAAATTTAAAAAATACAGGAGGTTAGTAGATAATTAGGGTTAATAAAAAATATTTATTTAATTGTGGTTAAAATTAAATAATAAATTATATGTTTATTTAATTTTGGTTAAAAAATGAAAAAATAAATATGTAGATATTATTAATTGTACTTAGTAGATTTAATAAATTGTACACTTAAGATGTATAGTAGATAATTTTATAATTACGTATTTAAATAATATAAAACTGTATTAAACTAATTAATCTAAGTTACGTGTAAAATTTGAAACTTTTGTAGGATGGGATATTGCCTCTTAAGGGATCTGGACATCGGCATGCAGTTACGCGCAATCTGTATGCCGAACATCGAGCAGAAAAAGAAAAAAAGTTAAAGAAAGTGAAAAATGTACATCCTACATTTGGCCCACTTGGTGAGTCAGCCAACGTAGACGATGATGATGATGATGATGATTTTGAGGGAGAGGAATCAGCAGAGGATAGTTTTGAGAGTGGGGGGACGATGTGGATGAGGAGGATGACACATCCGAGTATTCCTTGCATGAGAGGAGGGATATACATATTGCAGATAACTCAGTACTGAACCCCATTGGTCGTACTATTGATCAGACTCCAGTTCACCCTACCCGGGGGAGGGGGGGGGAGAGAAGTCCCTTGTGGGATTATCAGCCCTGAATTCAGCTTACACTCCTGGTAGTTCCAGTGTTCGTGTCGGCCCACAGAGTACTCTTTTTAGAGGTCAGAGTACTACTCTTCAGCATGCGGGCGCAGAGTACTCTTTTAGAGGTCGAGTACTACTCTTCACATGCGAGCCCGCAGAGTACTCTTTTAGAGGTCCCCCTCTGACTACTCAGCCTCGTTTCCGTATTGGTGGCGCATCCATTGGTGCCTCTATCCGTCCTGAGGCAGTTGCATCGTCATCAGGTACGTATTTGTAACAATTTCAGCATTCATTACTGCTTGGTCAATTTCTTAATTGCATTCGATTAAGTATTTATACACTATTCTTTATTCGGGTTGCAGGTACTAGCAGACGGTCTAAGGTTTCTACCGAAGAAACTGATGATTGGGTTGTGACAGGCGACGTACCTGGCGGGCCATGTGATGGGTCAGTGATTCTTAGTTTTCTTGGCCACACTGCTTATCAGTTGTGGAATGGAGAACCAAGAGATTACCTGACGATGAAGCCAGCGAAGAAGAGTTTGTCTAGATTGCATGGATGGTATGTGAGGTTGCCGGAGAACGCACAGTTGCAGATTCAAAATACCGGTTTGTATCATCTGATTGATACCATGTATGATGATATTGACCTTGCGGTTATTTCTGCATTCATAGAGAGGTGGCAGCCCGACACAAACTCTTTCCACTTTCCGTTTGGGGAGATGACCATTATGATGCATGATGTGGCACACATTTTGGCGATTCCACTTGATGGTTACTTGTTGACCCAACCTGCGGAAGCTGAGGTTTTGAAGATGCAGGTCGCAGGATTGCTTGGGATGCCGTTGGCTGAGTTAAAGCGTGCATGGAGCCACGGAGGTGTGAGCGACATATTGATTGAGGAGTGTTGTCGCAGGGTCCTCCCCGCTGTTCTGGTGTAAGCTTGGGTGTGGATCTTGTTAGCCTCGACACTCTTCCTTGACAGGAGTGGGGGCAGGATCAGTGCTTCGCTTATGAATGAGCTGCATGGAGGTATCGACAATATTGGAGAGTACTCCTGGGGATCCGGTACACTAGCATTCCTCTACCGTCAGCTTGGTATTGCTAGTCGAGCAGGGTGTACCACGATGGCTGGTTGTATGACCCTTCTCCAAGCATGGATATATGAGTATTTTCCATGCTTCCAGCCCTCCAAGAGGCGAGGACGTCGAGGTGTTGATGGTTGGCCCAGAGCCCGAGACTGGACACCAGTTAGCTATAAGGGCCCGAAGCCTATTCATAGTCCTCTCCAGCAGATTCGTACGCAGCTCGACGCGATGACTGAGCAAGAGGTACACTTTATATTTTAATTCTGTGTATTGTGTAAGGGGTAGTTCATTGTGTACACTATCATGTTGGTAACGTTCGCAGGTCGAATGGGAGCCATTTGGTCGCGAACAGGCGGCAGCATATCCGAGGACCATCTTCAGTGGGTGGATTATGTACCACGACTTCCAGGAGCCATACATGCCGGAGAGAGTGATACGCCAGCTCGGTTACGTGCAGTACATACCTCGTGCGCCGCTCACGCCAGTAACTCAGTTTTGCGGAAAAAATGCGCACAAGTATTTAGTTGATCGTCCGATTGCCGAGATATATAACTGTTGGGTTAGATTTTCGGATTCGGAGTGCATCAACCTTAGTCATTGTGTGCCGGTATCGTCCACTGAGGTAGGACAGGTAGCTGTAGATTACCTCGACTGGTACAGGAGCCATTCACATCCATTTCTACTGCCGGAGTCCGTACCGTCTACATCACGCATCCCAGGGAAGAACTGCACCACTTACGTAAGTTCAACTCTAACTGGAATACCCTTTGTTTAATAACACATGTACTATCTTTAAGGGATTAATATGGTTTTATTTAACATTTGTAGTGGATGCGTGAGATGGAGAAGCTGACTTGAGGTTGCATCAGCGATTTGAAGAAACTTGATTTGGGTCTTGGTGAGGAGTGGGATACTCGCCTGGATGATGTCATCTTCCGGCACAGTCAGGCCCCATGACATTCTACTCAGTGCTTTTTCATTTAAACAATTATGTACCGATTCTGTTATTCTGAACAATATGTACTTATGTCGATTTGCAATTTAAATTTTAATTTACGTTAAAATATCACCAATTTCATAAAATATATATATATATATATATATATATATATACACAACATATCACCCGAGATCACAATATTCCCGTGTGGGTCTTATCTGAGGTACCAAAGTATAGCTACAGTCTGGGTTCAAAAGGTTCTTCTCAACCAATAACACTACTATCACGATCATGCCTCCAACTGGGGTGAATGGGGGGAATCGGAAAATCACCCTGCAGATTGAGTCGAATGAAGTGCGGGTAAGGCTCAAGGTGGCAAATAACTATCTGGAACTCTGGCCTTGTTGCCCCGCCCCGTGCGCTCATTGGTAGCACAGTCCAACATGTGCCGTTTAGATTTTCAGCGCCGTTGCTACAACAGCATTGAAATATGTAGCAAGGGGATAAAAGTCCTCTGTCGACATCTAGTGACCTGCGGAGGTACCAGTCCACCGTATACGCTCTAGGCTTGCAGGTAATTTTTCCCACCTACAAAGACAAGTAAATGAAGGTTTTAAATAAAATAACATTGATGCAACTGTATGAAACCGCTCACCAAAATTAAACTGGCTTCATACCCGTAAAGGTTCCCGTACAGGCCAGGGTTATTTATAACCTCATCATAACATATCTGTCTGCACAAAATTTGATTATCCTGCCCTCCCAACATGCAACTCGCAAAGACGCGGAAACCACAATTGTCGTCAGCCTCGACATCAAGATATGACACAACATGATTGTGGAGTACCTGCGAAATCTTATTCTTGTGCCTAAACTGGAAAAAGTCTGTCTGCATCACATCTTTAACCACGTAAAATAATATCATTATTTCTGAATTACATATCAGTATTTAAGAACAAAATAAATTATAAACGTACCTCCGACATGGGGTTCGGAACCCGACCTGTGGCCTCTACTGGAACTGCTGGTGTTCGTCTCACCTTGCCCAGTCCATGTACCTGCTCTCGCATGGGTCAGTAACAAAAGTGCTTCCAGTAAACCAAGTAAAATAATATTTCGCACATTTAAAAAGAGAAAGTAATATCGGACCTCTGCTCTTATCTTCAGCTCCCGATGTATGGCCTCTACTGGAACTGTGGGTGTTCGTCCCACCTTTACTCGAGGTACCTTGGCTCGTACCTGCTTTACTGGAACCGCTCGTATTGGTGCCACCCTGATTGCCGTCCCTGTATGCCCACACATTTGGTTTGTCTTGCTTTTTTTTAGAGATGCCCCTCTTCTTCGGCCTGCCCTTGCCTCTCTTTCCAACCCACGGTTCATTTAATCCGGCTTGGCCTAGGTGAAGTTTGTTGTACATCAATCTGGTGATCTTGCGCTGTATTGGCTCCTCAGCAGCGTCCAATTCTTCCACTAACTGCCTGAACAACAATCTGTGAGGGGGAACATCATCCGAACCATCCTTCTCTGTAACCTCACCGATGTCAAGTGTGCTCCAAAATTGGTGTAAGTATTTTGGAGTCAAAATCTCGCTGGCCTCCATTATACGCTTAAGTATACATGCACAAGGGAGGGAATGAGTTTGTTTCAGGTAATGATTGCATTCCCAATACACATCATCTCCGAGTTGTTGCATCCTTTCCAACTCATTGTTCAATAGATCCAAGCAGTAGTGTGAAACATTGCATCTTAATTGGTAGAAAGGATACTTGTTGTGTTGCCTCCCTATTTTATGCCTTGATTCTTGCAATTTCTCCTTGTGGAGGAATTCTAACAAATTAATTAAACAACCTAACTACACAAATTAACTAAAAAGGGGATCAAAATCCAAAACCTTATTTGCGTAAGCTGTGTCTCCAGTAACATGTGAACCCTGTGCCACACCGTTTCAAAAGAAGCATTTGGAATGCAGAGCCATTCCTTTAACAACTTGTGTGCGCTCTCCACTCTACAAGTAGTGGTGTTGCCAAAATGCAAATAAGTGTTGGTCCATGCATGCACAAACTTGTGCGCCACCACTAACCATGTCTTCCTAACATACTCTAGAACGGGCTGAAATTGAGACCAATTATGCTCCAGAAACTATACTTTTTCTTCGTATACTTCCCGATTTGCAGCTTCGATCACTGCTTTGAAGGCATTATATGCGAAGCTTTTTGCTACATGGGCATTTCCATTCAAAATTCTTTTTACATTTCTTTCAACATCCCTGTAAACATGCCACGTACACAACAAGTGATGTGAGGATGGAAATACATCATCAAGAGGCCTCATCAGTCCAGGCTCCCGATCAGTCACGATGACACTCGGATGCAGATCTTTGCCATACAAGTTACGGAGCTGCCACAACGCCCAATGGTAGCTGTCTCCCATCTCATCACTCAGAATAGCATATGCTATAAGGAATGTCTGATTGCAAGGGGTCATTCCAACAAACTCCACAAGAGGCAGTTTATATTTGTTTGTGTTGTATGTGGAATCTACACAAACAACCCAAGGATACGTCCACAACAGCAGCAAAGAATCCGGATGTGCGAAAAACACGTGGGATAACCTCTGTGTCTCTTCATCGCACTCTGTGAAGATGATGTATTTGTGTTGTTCTGCGACCTCTAACACCTTTCCCACTACGTCCATGGCAGACAGGTCATCTAGAATTGGAAACCCCGCCTTACGCAAAAAATTTCTATAGTTGTAGACTTGTTTGGAGGTTACCTTTTCATCGGAAAATTGTGTCCATACCGCCCGTAAAATGTAGACTGCCTTAGTCCCAGCTTTGGAGTACTCCTTAATAAGCTCTTTTACTTCTTCACTCAATGGCCTCCTGACTCGAGGTGGATCTTTCAATGAATGGTTGTGCATTCTCAACGGACCTGGATATACACGGATCGCCCACCTATCATATGTCTTGTAAATAGTAACACGAAACTGGCATCCGGTCATCTGTGTCTTTGTATTGGCTCGCGTGCGCACATTTTCATCCACCTGTTGACCTTGGTACCGCCCTCCTTTATGACAAAGGAGTATAGTAGTATTATCCTTGTGCGAGGATACACTTAACTCCATATTGTAGAAGTTCGCAATACCATTCGCATATGCGGCAGCTTCCTTCTTCGTCGCAAAAGTCTCGTCTATAGCAAAAGCCAGACTATAATCGATTCCATCCCCCTGATCAAACCTATCCTGCACACATTAAAAACAAATTATATGATAACTTAAATTAACTCTAACATTGTTATACCACAAATAATTTGCTATGAGTAAACATTGTTATATAATCCGATATAATGATCTTATACTTTAAAGATAATTAATAGATACTAATAACAAATTAAAAATATTATTAATAAAAACTCATTATTTTAACAAAAATCCTAATCCCTAACAACTATACCCATTAACTCAGTTAATATAACAGTATACGTAATTAAAAAATATTCTCTAAATATCATAAACCTAATTAGCATGAACCCTAATTTTCTAAACAAATATTAAACTACCAAACAAATACTCAAATAAAATAAATACATGAATTAATTAAATTTATTAAACTAATAATAATAATTATTAAACTCATAAATATAAAATATATTAAAAAATAAAAAAATAATAATAAAAAAAAAATAGGTGGCGCCCACCAATAGGGTGGTTGGCGAGCAAATGCTCGCCAACCCGAACAAAGGTGGCGCCAGATCTGGCGCAATGGCGAAGGCTGTCTCGCCTCCCTGTAAAGGGAGGCGAGTTTATTGCACGCCACCCCCATAGGGGTGGCGCGCTTCTCCTGCGCCAGCCCTTAACGGCTGGCGCGGTCCTCCTTCGCCCCCCCCCCTCCCCTTTTCGAAAAAAAATATTTACCTCCATTTTGCAGGGGCGTCTCGGTCTTTCGCGGGCGTTCAAATGAAAAAATAAGGGCGTTCAACAGTTCGACCCTTAAGTAATGCTTTCCTAGATCTTACAAATCAATTATTTGAATTTGATTATGAAATTTACTAAGATGAGCATATAAGATATAATTCGAATTAACAAGAATCAGCTATTTGAATTTGAAATCATATTTTCTCTAACAAATTAACCATATCTTCAAATACGGACAAGATGAATAGATATTTGTGATTTTGGTTTTGATTATTTTTAGTTCAAAACTAAAACATCTTACACAATGTGTGGGATAAGAAATACAGTAAAAACTCCATAAATTAACAGAGTTTGGCTCACAAAAATTTAGTAAATTTTTTTGATAAATTAAATATTATTATTTTATCAATAAATTAATATTTTAATAATTTAAAATATTTTTTTCAATTCTAGTATGTATTTATGATCCTATTTTGTTTATTTACGGGTTGGAGAAAAAATCATACATGAAATTGTCTTAGATGTAAATTTCAAGGAAAAAATCAATAGTTTTCTACTTTCTGAAACTTTCTTAGTTTTTTCTTAATTTTTTTTAGATATTTTAGGTCATCATTAATTTATAATTTTTTGGGACCCATATTATATAAAAATTTTCTAAAAATTTGTTATATTATTAATTTATCAATTTTGTTTAATTTTGGTAGTGAGTTTGGACCAAAAAAATTATTATTTTATACAGTTTATTAATTTATAAAATATTAATTTAGGGAGTTTTTACTATAGTACTATAACTAGATGAATGCTCGTGCAATGCACGGCTGGAGAAGGCAATAATATTTTATTTTAACGAAATAAAACAATGTATAAATGGTATTATAATATCAATGAACAATTTTATCATTTAATGCAAATAAATTTTTAATATTCATCTTTTTATACTTGTATTAAAATTTCCATGAATTGTATTGGTCATAAAGATATAATCACACGGATAAAGCCGAATAAAAAAAAATGTATAAGAACAATAACGTTTACAATATATAGTTAAGAACGAAAAATACTATATTGTTAAATAATAATCCAATACATTAACGATATTACAGTTTACTTATTTTTCATGAATTTTAGTAAAATGAAATATAAGTTTAAATTGAAACAGTCTTCCAAAAATACTTATGCATATATAGTACAACATGATCTCTTCCACAAATTGTTTACTCAACTTCTTTTTCTCAACAGGATTGAATAAGAAATATTGGTTCCTTCCTTTCCCTAAAAGGATAAAATCACCATTAATTGATGACTTGGGAATTTAAAAAATGGGTCTTTACCAAAGATCCAGTAAAAGATATGGGAAAGAACCACTATCTTCCATGGAAACATGAACACTCAAATTGGTCTCGTACTTTTTACTCCACTCCCATTTACCATAAACATTTGTCGTCCAAATCCATAAATGAGATTTTTCTAATCCATAAATAAATATTATTTGTGTATAAATAAGCAAGGCATAAGATCAATAAAATACATAAATTTTTTTGACATGATGATAGATTATGTGAATTTATGGCATAATGTTAATGATACTAGTCGGAAAAAAAAAAAAATCTTGTAAACACTTTGTTCAAAAATATTTATACTCCATATGTAATAGATTATTTATTTAGAAAGATGGAAGTCATATAAACATGATGGTATGATCGAAGAAAAATTAAAAATAAAAATTCCAAAAAAAAATTCCACAAGCATTGTTATATTTAGTGACTTTATTTATTTATTATTTTTTCGATAATACTTGAATAGTTGAATCAATAAAAATTATTTACAATCACTCTTTTTGTTGGACGGGTTGTTCTATTTTATTATTATCAATGAATTCACTTCATTAGATCCGTTATATTTATTATGCTGTCATACATAAATGATAAATTTTTTTTGTAAATAATTTAACATATTTGGTAGCATTAAAAAGTACATGTGTTAATTTTAACACTCATAAAAATAAATCTATAGTTCACCGTCATATTCAAAATCGATTAATGTGTAGAATTACCAGCATAATTCTTCACTTTGCTAAATTGTATATTAAAAATAATACTCTCAAAATGTCCACCAAAAAGGAAAAGTTCATATCATCAGCATAATTGTCCCAAATTATGCACACTTTTTTTTTTAGTTTTCTTGATTATAAGTATTATGAATATTAATCAATCGAATTTAAAACAAATTGTTAAAATTGAATACATTAAAAATGTGACTTCCATTATAAGGCAATACTTCAAATCTCCATGTTCATTTTTTGTATTTCTTTTCCATTCTTTTCATAGCAAATAATATCTTTTTTGCAACTATCTCGCCAATAAAATCTATATAGGAAATGATAAATTAAATTTTAAAACTCACAAATATTATTCTAAACACCTAAACATCTCGGGTAAGTAAACCCCATTGAACAATGTGTTAATAAACTAGAATTATATTTTACCAACTGCAGTATTAATCTTAATACTCCCATAAATTGTCTGAACAAAAGAAATAAAATGAAATCATGAAGAGATATAAAATCCACATTATTGCAAGATTTGTTGTTGGCTTGAAATCGATCTTATAGGGATGTTTGACACTTGTATTTTGCATTGTTTTCCAAAACTCCAAATTCCGAAAGGAATCTAACTCCACTTTCAACGATGATATTCTAAAAATTTGACATCAAATTCTTCCTCAGTGATGCTTGAATCTTGTTTCCCTGCACAAATACAAAGAGGATAAAATATAGAACAATTTCGACAATATCATCACATGAAAAACTTTAATATCAACTGATGAAGATACATGGATTTACCTTTTCATCAATGATTATCATTTTAACAAAAAAAAAAATTGTTCGAATCTTTAAACATTGGAGGCTTCCAAATGTGAATGATGCGAACTTCCACACTGCAACCATTTTTCAAAGGGCTCACATCTTTAACAAAATTATATGAATCTTCTATCCTAAAGACATAAATTAAACTGAAAATATCAATCAATTTAACTTAAGAAACATGAAATTGTAATACGTAATGCATATTACAACAATGGTAATATGATTGAAATCTTACTTTTATCTCCTTCCGAAAAAATTTTGTATTAAGACTCAATGTTTATGATGAACCTTAACATGTTTGATGGTTAAATATTGCAAAATCCATATTGAAAAAAAATGCTAAACATGTTTGACCATTGATAAAAACCTTACAATGACAACGGAAAACAATGATGAATGATCATGAAATTGACAAAAACATAAATACTTACATAATTCAAGACTAAATTTACTTGACCTTAAAAACTGTTGCATAAAATGATGACATCTTTTATTAAAAATGTGTAGTCAACACTGAAAATAACAATTTCAATAAGTTCAACAATAAATATTGATGAACAAAATACATTCAATGTTGGAAATATAATTTTCAAATTTGACCATAAACATTGCACAACGAACAATGCAAAAATAGTTTGACAAATTAATCTTGAGTTAGGTTTTAGAAATTAATTTTTTTAGCAAAAAGAGACACTTACTAACAACCTAACTTATTACATTTTGGGGGAGGGAGGGACTTTTAACGTGGTATTGACACGTGTACATTTTAGGCAGGAAATTGTTTTAGGAGGTTACCCTTATAGGAGTATATATGGATGTTTGAGAAATATTTAATAAGAATTATTTTATGGACATAACTCTTTATTAATTTGACCATCTCCACTACTGCACAACCATATTGTTCCAAAACCAAAAACAAACAATTCTGGTTAATAAAGACAATACAAACATGTAGAGCATTTATTTCCTAATAATCCCAGAGGAATTCAAACACTGATTTTCTACCCAAAAGCATGAACTCCTAAAAAATCTCGAATACAATTTATATGAAGAAAAATAGACTTCGATTAATTTTCCAAGAAAGTTTAATTTAGTCAACTTCTTAATTAATTATGGCATTGTTGGTTTTGAAATTTGATGACTGTCAATCAATTAGGTGGAATTATCAAAACTAGAGGTATAATTATAGAGACAGCCAAAATTTTGGGTCAAAAATGTAGTTCACACAAAATAAATTAATAATAATACTAATAATAATGTATTAATAATAAGGGTTAATATCAAAAACACCCCCAAGGTTTCATCCAAAATCTAAAACACTATTATTGTTTGAAGAAATATCAGCTACATTCCTTGACAGGGCAAACTTGAAAGTCAATTAAGAGTAATGAAATGACTGAAAAACCACGCCACTTTTCAGTCAACTCTTTTTGTTCTTATTTTTTAATAAAAACATGAATGAAAGAAAAAAAGACTTGGAAAGAGAAAAGGAAAAGAATCCTCCTAAGCATCTTCATCTTCGCTCTCTTCCAACATCATCACCATTTTTCACAATCACTTTAATTCATCTCCCCCTTAGTAGATCTGGTTCAACATGGGGCAGAATCCGATGTTAGCTGTTGTCAACGACATCGGAAGTTAGGGATCCTGCCTCCGCATGGATTTTTCCTTTACCCCCTTAGTGGAAGGTTGTTGTTTTTTTTTTTTTTTTTTTTCTTTTGGATCTGGCCTCCGGGGGGGGAAATTTATTTTGCCCATTGTGTCGAAATTTTGTTTTATTGGCAGTGGGTGCTCTGATTCTTTCTGATTGAAAGGTGTCAAATATGCAGTAATTAGTAGAATTTTTATTTTTTTTAACTTGTCAATTCGTTGTGATTAAACCTGAGAAATAGATAAATGAATGGTTTTAGTATATATATATTTATATATATATATTATCAAATAAGATTCTAAATTCTAGGCAATTTAGTTTATGATTATTTATCAGACAAAATAGTTGGGTTAGCTTTGCTGAATGGGATCATCGTTGGTTTATTGAGGCATCACATGATGAAATAATTTTATCCTCTATGCTAATTTTGTAGCAAATCTGGTTCGATCAGAACAAAGTGGCATGGGAAATGCAATAGATAAATGCTCTTTACAGTTTGGGCTTGGTGCGGAATGAACTTACTTCTCTAATGGAGAAAAACCATAAGAGGAAGAGTCAAAGTTTTTGTGCAACAAAAAGAAAAATAAGAGTGGGAAAAAGCAGAACTCATTAAGAATCTAAATTTTTCTCTCTAGAACTCTCCTCTCCCTTCTCTCTAGAACTTTCAATCCAACTTGGTCAATCCATTTCCCATATGTCTAACCCTCTGCCTAACCTAGAATCTGATGGGGGCGGACCTCCACCGCCACACACCGTCAAACCAAAAACAGCCACCAAATACCCCAATCTGCCTCCCATTGATACAAGATCTACCAAAAAACTAAGGTATCTCAGAAGCCACACAGAGTCAAATTCGCTCCAAATCCCACCAACCCAGCCCGCACCAATGAGCTTTCGTGACCGAATGATGAAGGGGAAAAAAGTCATGGATCTCTCACTTTTTGAGGATGAGGAGGAGTTGGTTATTATCGACGAGGAAGTTTAATTAATAGACAGCAACTATACATGCAAAAAGGTCTTCATATCTGATGTAATGGAGGCAAATTGTGTAAAAATTGGAAGAATGTGATTATACTGAAACCTATGGGACGGACTATTAGCTATCTGAGTTTGTGCAACAAATTACAGGAAGTGTGGGATGAAACGGAAGGCTTTGCACTTATGAATCTGGGAAGGGATTACTTTTTGGCCAAATTCTGGAAGGCTGAGGATTTTCAAAAGATCTTAAAATCAGGGCCGCTCTACTTCTATGGAGCTTATTTCCACATCTGGGAGTGGGATAGCTCTTTTGATGCTGCAACGAACAAAGTGAAATCGCTGACTGTTTGGGCTAGGATGCCGGGATTACCGGTACACTACTACAACAAGGGATTTCTGCGCCATATTGGCCAACTTCTAGGGAGAGTAGTGCAAATTGACCACTAGACGGCAGCCAAATTGAGGGGCAAATTCGCTAGAATGGCAGTAGAAGTAAACCTGGAAAACCCGTTGTGTCAAGAATTGGACTTGAGGAATAGGAAACAGAAGGTGGAGTATGAGAATTTACCATTCATTTGTGCTTACTGTGGTAGAGCGGGACACTTGGCGGTGACTTGTCCTTTTAATCCCCAAAAATCGCCCGACCTGGTGATACTGACGGCCGCTGGTACGAGTAACATGTCAGCTTCTGGCGGGGCTAACGACAAGTTCCAAGCGACGGAGCACAGACGTCACACAGTTGGGGAGTGGGTCTGAATTCCCACAAGGGGGAAATGTGGGAATGTACCATCAGAGACCCCACCTGAAAGAGCCACCACTTCTGGGCAGTCACATGGGTCAAGATTTGATCTTCTCAATGAACTCAATGACGACAACGGGGAAGGCCCACTTTGTAAGGAAGACTCGGCAAACAAGGAAGATGAGGGGGACAGAACGACGACCCCCGCTGGCCAAATGCCGTCATTCCTTGGCGTTCGTAAGGTGTCAGCACGTGACAAATCTCCAACTGCCAAAAGTGGGGTGCACTCTCAACCGAAAACCGAAAAAAAAAACCCAATGTTACCCTAGTTCACTCAGAAATCCCCCAGACCTTGGTTAGAATCCCAAACCATCCTTTAGCCTAACAAGCCCCCAATGACCCAATGGTAGTACAAACAGCCCAACCCCAACAAATAACTGTAGCCGAAAAACAATATATAGCCCAACAAACGCTCACTACCCTTGACCCAACCAAGCACCAAGTTATAACCTTCACCCTCAAACCAAATCTCACACATAAGGACCCACCGCAGATTCCTCCAGATCCTAACCAAACTGAACCCAAACCAATGCACCACCCCTTACCAACCGGCCCACTAGACCAGGTTTCAATGGAGGAACTAAATAGGGAAGACGCCCATGTAGAGATGGAAACACATATGGAAGACGTAACTGGAGGTCAAGACTGCCAAATGGAGGAAACTGTCGATGAAGAATTGGCGGTTTCGTCTAAAAATTAAAGATCCCCCTGCTTCTCCACATTGTAAATAGTTTCTTTAATGAGTCTCAAATTACTATCTTGGAACGTGCAATGAGCACGATCGGAACAATTCCAAAGTAAATTTAAATTGCTGATGGCCCAGAATTGCCCGGATGTGGTGGCTTTGATGGAGCCGAGAATTAGAGGCAAAGATGCCGATAATTTTGTGAGGAAGAGCAAATTCGACCGGTTATGCAGAATTGAAGCTACAGGATTTGCTGGTGGCATTTGGGTCCTGTGGAAGGCGCATGTTGAGGTGGAGATTATTCAGCTACATTGGAGGTTCATCCACACCCGCAGCAAAATAGGAACTGAGTGCAGTTTAGTCATGTTTGTGTATGCATCACCAAACCCTGGTACAAGGCGTGAATTATGGGTGGAACTAACTGAAATTGCAAGAGAGGTCCGAGAGCTCTGGCTGGTAGGAAGCGACCTCAATTGCACACTTCATGAGTCAGAGAGGAAAGGGGGAGCACCCAACCACACTGGGCCATGCAAACTGTTTGCTGAATGGATGTCCAACGCAAAGATGACGGAGTTGCAGACGCTGGGAGCGAAATTTACTTGGAAACGAGGTAATCTTCTCAAAAAAACTCGACAGATTTGTATCTAACGAGGAATGGTTTTCTCTGTATCCAAATGCAGTGACCCATCATCTCCCAAGAGTCGGTTCAGACCACAACCCACTGCTAGCCACAGCCACAGGAATCGGTCCAAAGCCACAGACACAAAAACCTTTCAAATTCTTGGCCTCGTGGCTGCTCCATGATGATTTTGTTGATTTGGTGAGATACAATTGGCAACCGACAACATCTTTTTCACAGGCTTCCAATAGCTTCGCAAAGGCGGCTGAAAAATGGAACGTAGAAACCTTTGGAAATATTTTACGAAAGAAGAAACGGATCCTAGCCTGGATTGGTGGTATACAGAAAGCACGTGAAAGATACTACTCAAAGAAATTGGATGCTTTGGAAGGGGAGCTGGTGAAGGAATTGGAGTTGATATTGGCACAGGAGGAACTACTCTTAATACAAAAATCCACTCGAAAATGGTCAGTGCTTGGGGACAGAAACACCAAATCTCCTTTGTGAAAGGTTGCCGTAGAAGAAACAAGGTGGTAGCATTATTGAATGAAACAGGAGAGATGGTAACTGATCCAAGAAGGTTGGAGGGAATGGCCTTAGATTTCTTAAAGAAGCTCTACTACACGCCCCAAGCAACCCCAAATAGATACGCGTTAAGAGGAGCTTTCCCCTCTTTGTTACTGGGAAGGTGGCAGGCTATGCAAAATGAAGTGACAAATGATGAGATTTGGGGGGGTTTTAAAGGAGATGCACCCCCTCAAGGCCCCGGGGCTGGATAGATTCAACGCTCTGTTTTACTGAAGGCAATGGACGATTATGGGACCTTCCATATACAACCTGGTACAAAATTGTCTTCATTCCGAAAGTGGAGCACCCCAACACAATCAAGGAGTTTAGGCCAATAAGCCTATGTAACGTGATGTACAAAATTGTCACTAAGGTGCTAGCAAATAGAATCAAACCGGTGCTTCCGGATCTGATTGGACAAACTCAAGCGAGTTTCATTCCCGGCCGCCACATATCAGATAACATAATCCTCGCACAAGAGGCTATCCACTTTATGAAATCTATGAAGGGAAAAAAGGTTTTATGGCGATCAAAATCGACTTGAAAAAAGCCTATGATATGGTTAGTTGGGATTTTGTTGAAGACACTCTACAACAAGCCGGATTTCCTACCAACATAGCAAATGGCGTTTTGAAATGCATTTCTTTGGCCTCTATGCAAGCCATTTGGAATGGTATACCTTCCAGGGAGTTCAAACCATCACGGGGCATTAGGCAAGGCGATCCAATCTCGCCTTACTTATTTGTGTTGTGTATGGAGAGACTTGCTCATACTATACAAGCTAAAGTCAATGGTGGGGAGTGGAAGGCTTTAAAATTTGGTAGGACTGAATTAAAAATTCCACTTCTTTTGTTTGCGGATGATGTAATTCTGTTTGTGGAGGCATCCTACAGTCAGGCTTCGCTCGTAAATGGCATACTTGAGAAAATTCGCCTTGCATCCGGCTTGAAGGTTAGTGAACCGAAGACTAGAATCTTCTTCTCCAAGAATGTGGGAGCTGCCTTAAGGGAGGGTTTGGTTGGCCAGTTGGGATTCAAAACTGTCGCCAACTTGGGGAAGTATCTAGGAGTTCCGTTGATCCATGGACGGGCGAACCGAAATGCTTACGAGTTTATTGTAGAGAAAGTGCGGAGAAGACTTGCAGGGTGGAATGCTACCACTACGAGTTTAGCAGGAAGATTAATGCTTGTGAAGTTAGTCTTAACCATCTTACAATATTATTATATGCAAACCACAATGCTCCTCAATAAAACATGTGATGAAATTGAGAAGCTATGCCGCCATTTTGTGCGGGGTGGGAATGAAGATACAACCAAAGTAAGTCTTGTGGCGTGGGATGATGTATGTGTCCCAAAAGTAGCTGGGGGCTTAGGGATTCGATGATAAAAAACCATGCATAAATCCCTTCTGATGAAATTGGGACGGGAGATGCTGAAGGGAAAGGATTCATTGTGGGTCAAAACTCTGCAAGCTAAATATGGGCCAGCTGAACTCAATGGCCCAGAAACGAAGAAGTCCACTAACCGTTCTGTAATATTCAACTCAATTATGAAAATTTGGAAGCCCCTCACCCAAACGGCCCAATGGTGTGTTAATGATAAGTCAATTGTTAAGTTTTGGGCTGATCGGTGGACTCCAGGAATGGGCCCTTTGTGCGAAAAAGCCCGCGCTGAAATCCCAACTGACCAAATATTTTGGACTGTGAATATGTTTGTGGATAATGAAGGGATTAGGATTGGCCGTTATTCCAACACATGCTGTCGGTATTGGAGTTGATGAAAGTCGTCGCCACAAGGCCGCCACAACTAGAAAGAGGTCGCGAATGTTGTATTTGGCCATATTCCAATAATGGTGTTTTCACAAATAGCTCAGCTTATAACTCTCTAGTAGGGGGATCCAATAGAAATCACCCTTTGTGGAAAGTGGTATGGTCTTGGCCCGGGCCAGAGAAAATCAGAACCTTTCTGTGATTGGCGGTGTGAGGCAAATTGATGACGAATATGGAGAGAAGACTTTCACTGATTCGCCAGCCTGTCCTAGATATGAGGCGGCAGAAGAATCGGTAATCCATGTACTCCAGGAGTGTCCGTCATCAGCAGCCATATGGGAAAGATTTTAAAGGGGAAGAATGCGAGATGGGGGATTCTGGGAGGAAGAGCTCTGCCCGTGGCTCTTCCACAATTTGTCGAATAGTGGGGTGGCCAGGAAAACTGGTCGATCATATTTGGTGTAATGATATGGAAAATTTGGGCCTGGCGGAACGAACTGGTCTTCTCAAACTCAAGCAGGTCGGTGTATCGAAAGATTTGGGAGATATCCACAAAGGTGGAAGCTATTCTAGATACCCATAGTCACCAAAGGAAATCCGGCAACCCAACGCCACATCGGGTACAATAATTTGTTAGTTGGTCGCCACTGCCAGAGGGATGGGTGAAGTTGAACGCCGATGGCTCCTTTGATGCTAGATTGGGGATTGCAAGAGCAGAAGGACTTATTAGAGATCACTTTGGTAGATGGGTTGGGGGCTTCTCCATGAATATAGGCCTTGCAACTGTCATGGGGGCAGAACTCTGGGGACTTTTCCAGGGCCTATCGCTTACGTGAAGTTTGGGATGTCGCCAAGTTCAAGTGGAGGTTAATAGTGAAGCAGCAATCAAATCCATATTAGGCGGACGACAGACCTAGGGCGTACATTTTGGCATAATTTTTGGGATCCAGGAACTCAGGTAGAGGGAATGGGCTCTGGAGATCAGACATTGCCACCGCGAAGCCAACTTCGCTACAGACTGTCTTGCAGATTTGCTAGACCAATCGGATTGGTGATTAAAAATAATTTGTGAACTTCTGCTGGCAGTGCTACCTTGACTCTGACATGAAGTGATCGGGGTAGTATACCTGCGGAATGTAGTTATGCAATAGTGTAATTAGGCCACTTTGGCCTCCTTCTTTGCACCAAAAAAAAAAAAAAAAGTTAGTAGGATAAGGGTATTTGCGCCTTCAAACATGAAGAAAAATGCTTACATCACTCGCATACATCATGATTCCCGCAATAGAGGGTGGTTTCGATAGTTGACTTGACGGTCAAAGGATGTATTTCATATTTCTTCAAACATTAAGGGTGTTTTAGATTTTAGATCAAACCTAGAGGATGTTTCTGATATTATCCCTAATAATAATAATAAAATGGAAAACATCAAACAAACCAGAACAATTTTTCTGATATGGCTGAAGAAACCCAAACCGCGATGCCGTCGTCAATGGGAGGAGATCAACATCATCGATTTTCTGGTTCTCCTCCTTCAGATGCAAAGATTAAGGATCAATCCCAGGTTTATACTCAATTTCATTTATCCACTCGTTTATGCTAGTTATTACTTTAGGTTTTGCTCATTTGGAACAGCTTGAATTTTCTCGTGCGATTCGAGCTTCTTTTATTTATTTATTTATTTATTTTTTATCAATTCCATTGATCCAATCGCTTGTGCTACTAGTGATCCTTATAAAGGACGATCGTTGTGTTATTTAACCTAAACTATCTTTGCCAAGATGGGGAATCGACATAGCTGAGTCAACCTTAGTGGGATAAAGGCTTGTTATTGTTGCTGTTTATACTGGGGAAGAACATAACTGTTGTTGTTGGTTCGTAGTTTTATCATTGTATTGTATGAATAAAATTCAAAGGTTGCTTTAAGGAAGTGATTCTAATTTAATTGTTCTTGCTGTCTGAGCCAGTTGATACTGGTTATAGTGTGTAAAGGAAGTGACTCCAATTTAATTGCTTGGTTACTACCGAAGGCGTCCTTTGTTACCCTTTGAAAACGTGGACATTAGCTAGTGCTCCTTTGAGGTTTAACTTTTGTTTGGTTTGGTTTGGTTTAGAAAGGTTGAAGAATAGTTTGCCAATTCGTATTTTAGGTTTGGAGTCCCATCGATTTGTTCTTCATGTTGTTCAAATAGAATTTCAAGTCTCATAGCATGAGTATCAGCTGTTAACATATCAATCCTCAAGAAGCACTTTCTTTCTTTTTTCTTGTTCATTCTCTCTCTCACTCACACATTTCACAGCTAAAATGACCATAGTTTTGGAGCTTGTATCTCAATCCATCTTGTGATTTCACTGTGAGGACCTTGATTTTGTTCTTTATGTTGGGGGAGCTTTTTGGTCTTTGTTCTAGTCAAAAGCAACCTTGTGTGTGAGGTATCCTAATTCAAGTTAAATTTCTTTAGAAAAAATTTTGTTGATTTGTATTTGATGCAGTTGGTGGGTCTTAGACTTTAGCATCTCTTTGTTTTGACCTCAGACTTACTAATGATTAGTGATCGAATTGACGACGAAATTGCATCCGTTATACACGCATCAATATTTGTCCGCACATGAATGTATGCGTTTCTTGTAGTTCTGATTCCACTGCACATTGTGTGTTGCACCTTCTGTTTGTTGAGACCTTTCCCGTATCTTTTTTATTTCATCCACTCAGTAGCATAAGCCAAGGGCGTACTTCTCCGTGTCTAATATCCTACAATTTTTATTCTACAGATGCAGTTTTCTGGTTTCTCTTCTCTGAATGGAGATTTTCAGATGCTTCCAGCTATGTACACAACATATTTCCCAGGTTTTAATCCTCTTGAACTGAACCAAGGACAAACAAATCATGGTCGCGGGCTTTATGCTGTTACAACGCTTCCATCTATGGGGCCTATTGCTGGGTTATCACCTAACTATCTAATACCGTTCACCTACAATTTACCTTCGTAAGTTTCCTGCCACTCAGTAGCTAGTAATCTTTGTCTGATTCTAGTTTCATACATTAGATGCGTAACTTACATAAATGAAGTTGCTGCCTGCTGCAATCCAACATATGCCCTTTATGCAGTCAAGTGTTACCTTTAACTGCATAGACCTGTATTTTCTCCTGTGATTATTTGATGGAATCTTTGCAAATATCTGAAAGTGGGAGGTCTTATAAAGTACTAGCGAAACCACATTTCAATTTTAGGATGGATGTGGCAAGGGACTGAGAAGAATTAGGAACAACTAGAACAAAAGCCTAACTTCAGGGGTAGAAAGACAGTCTTTTCTGTTATAACAAAATGTAACTTTTAGGCTGCAGGGCTCTAATTATATTGAGTTTTGCTGATTGTTCCGATAACAAATTGAATTCTAAAACTAAACTCTGTAGACTACAAAACCTCAATAAGAAATAAACTAAAAGAAAATCAAATTCCCACACTAGTAAATGATAAGGAAAAACAGATAAGATTCCATTCTACTGAGATAAATTTTGCAAGCTACTCTATAGTTTTATCCCCACACTAGTAGAAAATAAGGAAAAATGAATAAGATCTCCGTCAACTCGTCTTGTTGAGACTTTGTGATTTGGGGTGGAGTCATGAGGTAGCATAACAGTTAAGGCCTTAGTTCTGTTGTTATCTATTATGTTACTGTTAAATTTTGTTACTCTGGGTTGATTTTCTTGCCTTCTCTATCGCTTATAAGATTGAGCTAGTGTGTAGTATATGAAATTTGTTCCTGTATTCAATTATAGTGTGCCCCTGATACACTTAACTATGCATTGTCCCAATTGTTGATACTTATCAAAATTTTCTTTAGTGGTCATCTGCAGTTACTATGTACACCTTTTTAGTCATAAGCTTACATTCGGATCATGACACCTGCCAAAAAATAGAATGAGGGTAAAACCAGTACATCCGGGAGCCATAACAATGGAGCGCGAGAGAATATTAAATCTTCACCATGGTTAAAATTTAAAAGCTTTTACCTTTGTGGATTTTAGGGAAGGAAGTTTTGTAAGAAACCTTTTTACCATTTGGGTCAAGATATTCCTGAACTTTAGCTCCTGGACTTTTAGTGTCATATTCTGGAGTCCTGTCAAATGGGGGCCATCCGCAAATATTGGCTAATAGTATTAAATATTTAAAGCTTATACTGACATAGGTTAATGTAACAACTTTATACTGCAACAAAGGTTATGAACACAAATGAATGGACTTTAGTTTTGATCATGGATTTTAGTTTTTTCATAACCTTCATAATAGGTCTCCCGTGAGTATGAATTATTCTCGCAGAATTCATCTCCATCAATTAATAGAAGGTGGCCTAGCGCAGCATTTTGTTGTTTCCCGGATACTGTAATTATCTCGAATGTTCAATGAGTTTTACTTCTTTCTCTTGGTACATATTTCTGGTTCAAGCTATTGATCATTTATTTTGTTTTGGTGCCGATCCTGTACAATCAATAGTGGATCGATTTCTCCGGAGAATGCAGCAATGGGCCAGGACCATGGCCAGCAGCACCCACAGGCACAACAACAGGCACAGCCATTGCAGCCAGGCCAGCAAAGACAGGTTAGGAGGTTTCAAGTTGCTTTCCAGCTAGACTTGTTGCTTATTCTGAAGCTGGTGGCTGTCATTTTCTTGTTTAACCAAGACGGGTCAAGACAAAGGCTCGTTCTTCTTGTGTTTTTATCCTCATTAGTTTATCTGTAAGTATCTGAGCTCAAAGTTCTCCTGACTTTCAAACCTGGGTACCTTTACTCCGTTCCAGTGAGTATGAAGTTAAAGTGGTTGATGCAGGTATCAAACTGGAGCTCTTGCGCCTTTAATTCGATGGCTTTCACAAGGAATGCAGAGAGCTGCTGCACCACCCAGGCCACCTAGGCCAGATGTTAGGGCTGATAATGTTCCTGCTGTTGAAGGAGTAGGCAATGAGAACGTTGCTGCTGCAGGTACTGTCACTGCCTCTATATATCATGAAGTGCAGTTATATGATAAGATAATGAAGTTACCTAATGTGTTACAATTGACTCAAAAGTCCTACTTGGTTACTGATTCTTTACTGATTCTGTGGAATAATTTGTCTCATCAATATACTAACTTGCAATTTTATCATGGATATCATTGTAGCCAACTGAGAAAAATCTTCTTACAGTTTTCAAACACCACTCAAGAGTCAATTTTTTTCTTCCCTGCCTCGAAAACATGAAAATGGACATTTACAAAAAATACTACTAGTGCATATGGAACATATTACATATGTTGGTTTATCCTTTTCAAGTTATTTGGTCTTTTTTCTAGCTTCCTCTCGTCTGCCCAGTTGCTTGAAGCATTTGTATCTGATTTCACACGTGAGCATAAGCGCCTGGTTAGCTACTTTGTCTGTCTATATTTTATTCCTAAAGTGGAGAGTTGTAGATGACATCATTTTACGCATCTATGGTGAATATACTGTAAATTCTGTGAGCCTGGATGTCCACTTTCTTTCTTTTGGTCAGTTTAGATATTTGTAACTCATGAAGAGGAATAATAAGTATTTTTCTTGTCTATCTTGTATGTGGGCAACCAGGTGGTGAAAATGAGAACCAACCTCCCAATGGCAATGGGGTAGTGGAGAACGAGAATGGCCTGGAACCTGGTCTAGCAGAAGGTGGCAATCGCTGGTGGGGAATCGTGAAGGAGATTCAAATGATTGTTTTCGGCTTCATAACATCGCTTCTCCCCGGGTTTCACAACATCGATTAAAATGTATATTTAGTTTAAGATCCACAAACCTAAAAGGCTGGAATTCTCTATGTAGCTTGGACAACGAAAATGAAAGCATTTTCAGGCTTTTCTTTTTTCTCCCAGCAACCATATTGTAAAAATGATACAAACATCTTGTTTAATACTTTTCTTAATGAAACCATTATTTATAATCCAGCGTTAATCATTCATAACAAAACACCATAAGCAGTAAAGAAACGGGAGTATTTTTGCGCACTAAGCATCCTCTTCTGTTCTTATCTTGATTTCGGAAAATCAGTGAAATTAAAAGGTAGTATGATACTATGACAATATGAAAAATGTTTTACTTGGACAAATTGAAAACGCAGCACACGTGAATAAAGTTTTTCTTTATTCTTTTCATATATTACCCTCATACATATGTATGATTGGGGAATGTGATTCCCCTTTTCGTAGACCTCGTCTTTTTTTTTCAAAAGCATCTTGCGATAAAATATTTTCTGTAATTTATTTTTATTATTAACTCACTTATATACTCATTATTTTTATTTTTATAATAATAAAATACTCTTTTATCCCCAAACAAGTACTAAACAGTTGATCTCCCTAGCTTCCATTATTTTCTTCTTTTATCTTCTATTGTTAAGATTAAAAGACAGATTCGGTGATCTCAACCTCTTTATCATTAGAGAATATAATAAATTTTTGATTTCCCTCCCATTAATTTATCTTTTATTTTTAGTTTAAAAATTAAATAAATAGTTTCATTATTACAACTTTGAATTCTTGATGTCTTTCTTTTTCTCCTCTTCTTTTAATTTAATAGCCTCATCAATGATAGCTTAGATTGTTTCATAACATCAAAAAAAAATATTTCAAGTCATGTATCTTAGATTTATCAATGGTTAGTGATTCTGCCAAAATATTTTTTGGCATCCAAAACAAAAATGACATTCCTTACCCTTATATGCTCAAACGCATCTTCTTTTCTCTTATTCCTCTTGCCCGCTTTTCTCTATTTCCCAAAGCATCTCTTGTTTTCTTAACTTACCCTCTTGGCCGAATTTTTATTGCTTTTTTAACGCATAACACTGATGTTCTTGTTATCTTGTATTAACTTGACCGAGAATAAAGATCTAATTGGCTAATAATACCGTTCGTTTCTATATGACGAATCAATATATGATAAAAAAATCAACAATATTTCTGAATGATAGCTTTTGCCAAGGGCTATGATCTCTTTCTGAGGGTGGGGATACTATTCTTACATATAATATAATTCCCCATTGTCTTTTTTTTTAAGCTCTTTGATCTAGTATTTTATGTGCTTGTGATATTGATATTTGAGTAGAAATTATCAATCTTTTGTTCATAGCGCAAGCTATACCATCCGGGACTTTGTTGATTCCAACAAGACTCTCAAAGAGTGGTTCCTTTGCTTTAGGGCTGAATTGTGATATATATGATGGAGAAATTTCATTAATTTTCACATGTAATGTGATTAGTTTTTTTTTGCAAAATCCATAGGCTCTTTCTGTGAGAACTTTTTTCGTTGTGGTATCATCTTTTTGTTGTGTTTTTCTTTTTTTTTTTTGTAATACAAGGAGATTTATTTTTCTAATCTGGTAACTGACAAATAGGGGTAAATGAACTGTTTTAGTTGTACAAAATTTTGATTACGGAAATTGGATTCTTCTATATGTAATTATGCTTGGAGAAGCAAATAGAGCAGCATGGGCAACTTTGGAAAATAAAATTATTTTTGTTTTGGATGCCAAAAGTTGTTTTAGCAAGATTATTGCCCTTTATTAATATATAATTATAAATAGTATAAAATTTTGTCACTTTTATCTTTTTATTTCTTTTAAATCTTTATTTTTACCTCTTCATCAAGAGTCGATTAGAGGTAATCATCTTTCATTGTACATCTTTATCTTCTTTCTTTTTTTTCCTTTTAGAATTTATTTTATGTCTTTGATACTTTTTCCTTTTATTATAGTCCTTTTTTTGTTTTGTTTTTTTTGGTAAAATGGTGAATATATTAACTCCACAAAACTTGTGATCCTTTACATTTACATTTGTCATCACTATTCTACTCTCTCAAAAAAACAACCAAAACTTTTCCCTATACCAGTCCTATAGTAGCTAAGTACTTGTGATCTTTTTGTGTAAGCTTAAACCTGCTGGAGTGAAATCTCCACCTCAGCTGTCTTGATCATTTCCACTCTGTCTTCAACACACATGCGTTTTTGTCCAAACCGTCGTGCATTCCTTTCCATCCACGTATGGTACACACATGCCATCGCCACTGCAGTACATACTTTCTTCTTGACTTTGATAAACTGGCTGCCACATTTGATCCTTTCATGTACTTGTTTTAGCAGAACCCCCCTCATTCTCAATCCTGCCCATTTCATCATTTCCTTAAGCAGCTTCTCAGCAAAACAGCATTTAAAGAACAAGTGATCCTTGGTTTCTGCTTTATCTTCTCCACACAAAACACAACCATACTGTGATCCCACGATCTGCAATCTACTAAGCCTTTCCATTGTTACCAGTCTGTCTTGCCATGCAAGCCAGCCAATAAAACTGTTTTTAGGCACACACATACTGTTCCAGATCATATCAGCTGCATCTAATTTCTGGCCTTCATGTCTCCACTGTTCATATCCCTCCTTCACTGTGTAGTCTTTCTGTCCCACAGTCCATATTCCATTTTCAACTCCCTCTTTCAGCTTCTGTTTAATCAGCATCAGCCTTCTCCAGGGCCAGCTGCAATCAGCTGGTTGTTGGTAGTTCCACAGGGTCTTGCCTTTAAGATAATAGGCATGAATCCATTTAACACATAGTATATTTTTCTTAGCAGCAATGTCCCACAACTGCTTTGCTACCGCTTCTACAAACCGTCTGCCATGACACTAGTGCCATCCTACTGCCACTTTCAGTCTTCCCCCATAAAAATTCCCTACACACCCTAGTTATTTGGGTGATCACTTCTGCTGGTAACAGGAAAGCATTTCCCAAGTTGATTCCTACCAGCATAGGATAAGTGCTTGGTGCTCCAACACTTAATCCTCTTGGTAAGTTTATCAATCAGCAACTGGCAGTCACCTGTGGTCCATTTCGTGGGAGATATTGGAAGCCCTAGATATCTCATAGGAAAACTTCCAATATCAAACCCAATAATCCCCTGCAGCTTCCTTTCCACCTCATCATCAATTCCAGCACAATACATATTAGATTTTCCCTGATTTACTTTCAGTCCAGTGGTATTTCCAAAGTGTTCCAGAACCTCGTGAATACACCTTACAGACGTCTCCTCGGCTTTGGACAGTATAATAAGATCATCGGCAAACCCTAAATTGGTTATTTGTAACTTACCACATATAGGGTGAGCCTGGAGCTGCTTCCTGTTCATTTCCAGTCTAAAACCACGGGTGAGGTATTCCATCACCATAACAAAAATCATGGGAGAGATTGGGTCCCCTTGCCTCAGCCCACGCCTCCCCGAGAAATTCCCCGTACTATTCCCATTCATATTCAGCGAGTAACTACAACTTCTAATACATTCTAGCACCCACTCAGTAAATTTAGTAGGAAATCCATAAGCATACATCATCTCCTCTATACATTTCCAACTAACCGAGTCATACGCTTTACGTATATCTACCTTCATCATAGAACTAGGCTTTACATTTTTTCTTTTATACACGCGTATAAGCTCTTGTCTCAACAATATATTATGTATAATTTTCCTATCTTGTACAAAGGCACTTTGATTTAAATCAACAAGATAGGGCAGTACCTGGCTCAACCTCTTGCTTAGGATCTTTGATATACACTTATAAAGTGTGTTACAACAGCTGATCGGCCTGAACTCCATAGCATTCTTCGGCATTTCCACCTTTGGGATCAATGAGATGATAGTAGTATTCAGCTGCTTTAAAATTTTTCCAGTTTGGAAGAATTCCAAAACGGCTTGTACTATATCATTCCCAATGATGTCCCATGCATATTTATAGAACCCGCTTCCATATCCGTCCGGCCTTGGGATTTTTGCACTCTCTATTCTCCTTTGAGACATTTCTGCTTAATAAGAGTTGATGATCCCTAGACAGTTTGCTGCCTACTTCAAAAATCTCTTTTTTTTTCGCAGGTTCTCTTTGCTCTTCTTTATCCAGCAGGCTGCAATTTCGAACACGCCATTTCGACATCACTATTCTCATATTGAAAGGATAAAATTCTGTTGTGGCTTCTCTTTTTCTTCAAACTGGCATGAAAATATGCCGTGTTCATATCACCTTCTTTAACCCACTTTTCTTTGAGTCTCTGCTGCCAAAAGCTGTTTACTGCCTTACACTTCTCCATGTACTTCTCTTTTTCTTTTTTCTGCAATTCTTCATTCCAAGGATCAGTTACTAGCGTCTCTTGTACAGTGTCCAGCTCCACCTTTATCTGTTGCATCTGCTGCTCTATCTGGGAGAATTCTTTCTTGTTAAGCTCCTTTAGTTTCCCTTTGAGGCTTTGTTGCTTCTGCGTTATCTGAAATTGCCAACATCCTCTAATCTGCTGCTTCCAATGATCCTGTATTATGTGCTTCAGCTTTTTACTCTGACACCACATGTTATAAAACTTGAAACTTGGTCTTGTCCTTTTTATTTCCATTTTCCATTGCACCTTTAGCGGACCGGGGTCTGATACACCAACATTCAGCACAGTGGCAAATGAATCTTCATATGAATACAGGCACCAGTCATTTACCATTACTCTATCTAACCTTGCTATAATTCTCTCATTCCCCAGTCTTTTATTGGTCCATGTGAAAGCTGATCCTTGTGTTTTTAAATCCCACAGTTGGCAGCGATCAACAGTCATTCTAAATACATCAGTGTCCTGACTTGTATCAGCTAATCCTCCCATCTTCTCTTCAGCACATAGAGCACTATTAAAATCTCCTGCAACAATCCATGGCTGCTGTATTGCTTTAGTTATTCCCCTTAGTTGTTGCCAGAACTCAC